ATTATTAAAGAGCTGAGCAAGTCCATGGCTCTTTTTGCCTTACATAAAAGAGTAGGTGGTGAAGGACTCTTGCTTTCCTTCTCCTCTTCAAATAGTTTTGTGCGCTTACAACTGGCTATTACCAAACTCAGTTAAGATGAAATGCTCTAATTGCATTAAATGCTCTARAAAAGATGGTGGATTCAACTAGATCTTTACAGGGCAAAACTCACTAATTTTCCTGATATTTCATAAATGATGCTGCTTCTTCTGGAGACCTGAAAGCAATTACAGCCTTTCTGAAAAGAGTTGACTTGGAGTCAAGGAAGAATTCTGCTTGGTTTCTTCACTGCTTTTGCTATGTGGCTGAAGAAGAAGCAACAGCGAGTGAAGTTACAGGTTTAAAACTTTTTTTTTTCTCATCTGTCTCTTCTTTACATGAAAGATGCAATAGTTGGTGTTTGCTAATATAAACATTAAAAGAATTCTCCTAAGACTTTATATTTTAGTTGTTAATTTTTACAGTTTCCTATGTATTTTTTGGCATATATTAAGTTTTAAAGCATTGCACTTCTTAAATGAAATATTTTAGTAGTTTTATATGCTAATATTTGCATTATTTTACTTACAGTAATAGTACAGGTTTTTTAAGGCATTATAAATTATGCTTTCAAATATGCTTACATAAAATAGTACTAGTACAGAACTCTTGAATCAGTTTTTTTCTGGTGCTTTTGCATACTCATTTTTACTAACCTTGGGCACTCTGATTCATTTTGCATTTAAAAATTTTCACTTGGTGAGACTGTTTTWTTTATATATTTTTAAACAAGACTTCTTAACAGAATAAAATGTTTTCCTGCTTCTCAGACCGTGCTATTTTGAAAAATACTGGTAATAATAGAATGAACTGTCAAAGTTCTTAACCCTATCTGATAATCAAAGCAGAACAGGGGGAAACACTGTAATAATTCTTGCATAGTCTCATGCAAGCTGTGTCTATTTTTGAAACAGAGCTTATAGGTTTGGGGAAGATACTACCTTCCCTTCCCAATTTTGACTTGTGAAATCAAGGATCCAGAGGAAGCCTTGAAGCCATTTGGAGTCCCTGTTGAGACAAAGCCATGGAGTCCAGCAGATCTAGATGCAGAGATTTAAGTTCTTCTGGTGAAAGCTCATGGCCAAAGAGTCATGGGAGCACAGACATGTTGTGGGAGCAACGTCTGTTTTTGCTGTTTAATAATAAACTCTTTTCCATTTTATAGCCGGTGGTCAGAATTGCACACAGCTTACTTGGACTTGAACACTGTTGTTAAGTCTGTCTCAAGTCACACTAACTTTAAAAAAAAATTAAAAAAAAAAAAAAAGCACACCCTAATAAGTTCAGTCTTTTTCCTTTTTAAATTGCATATCCACTAACAACAAAGTTGTAGCCTTGTTGAGTCCTTGCAAGGGACTTCGTTGTCACACTAGACCCATACAAATAGAGCAGCTGAGTCACCTTTCTTTCCTGCTCGGGATTTTGTGATGCTTGATTCAACTTGATTTGGTGGGTTTGAGTCTTCTTGTACAGTATGTAAAACACTTGGACTATATTCTTTCATGAACACTTAAAACATCTTCAAATATAACTTTTGATAGATGAACAATACTTAATCTCATTGTTTTTCAGCAATATTGACTGTAGCACGAATAGGAAATGATGCACCTTTAACTTGGTTTGCTAATCATGTAGTCTCATGGTTTGGTGAAGATGCTGCTTTGTTTATGGAGTTATTACAATGCAGTAGTCCAGCTTCTGTTCTGACCCAATCAATTATGAGTCAATGTCTGGCAGACATTATTTATCTCTTGAACTTTGACTCTTTTGGAACACTTATTTTTATTTTGGTATTAGTTTTGAAGTCTCTCTTTTTATACGGTAACTCTTAGCACAGACTATTCAAAAAAAAAAAAATTGAATTGCATATGTAGTTTTGAATTACCCGTTGAAACTATGAATATGCATTTTTTGAAAGTCTCATGTTTGGTTTTGTGTGTTATCACAGCATTGTGTAAATAGAAAATCGTAGTCAATCATTTTTCAGATTTACCTAATATGATTTTGTAGATTTGCTATTTTTTAAATACAAARTAAGTGGTAAGTCCCACTTTTTTCTCCTAAATATTCAATGAAGAGCTTTAAACAAYAGCAATTTATTTGTAAAAATCTGATTTAATGGCAACTAGCCATTATTGTTTCTAGCTTTTATTAAGTTTAAGAATGGGATTCTCTCTCATATCTTTTCAAGTCTCAGGACTGAATTTGTCCCTTTCTAACAGTGCTAAGCAGTCTTTCATATGCGTACTATATATATCGAATTCTGTTTATATAAAAGGTGAAAAGTCTGTATTCAAGCCAAAAATGGATTTACTGTCCCAATGCAACAATAATAAAAGAATTAAATACTAATCTAAAAGTTGGAATTGCGCCAGGTTCCGGGCTTTGTCTGCATCTCTATTTTGTCTGTTCTCTGSTTTCCCCTCCCTTTTTGTTTGTACTTTTCCTTTCACTATTTGTCTCTAGTGTCTCTGTTCATATATCCCGGACCTGCATGGGCTACGTAAATCTCTTAAGAGATTCCATCCCAATCCCTTAAAGAGCTTCCCCTGAAGCTGCACACAAATGCTGTGCATCTTAGCAGGCACTGACGTGAGGCATTCCGAACATTCCTCACTTTCCTCTTACTAGCTGCACCAAAACTGSACTTATGCCTGTTCTCCTGTTCTTAAGCTATGCCCTTAGTTGTTGCACCTGAAGCTTCATCTTGCTTTAACATCTAGTCCGTTGTCGTGAAAGCAGAATCCTGATGAGACTCGTTAGGTCAGGAGCTTAGACTGAAGCAGTGACCTTCCTTGGGACAGAAACTGTGTGTCTGCGTGGGGAGAGAAACATTCACCCACAGCTGGCTGATGGGACCACATGTAACTGGCAGAACTGGTAGAGAAAGAGARGAAGGGGGGACAAAATTGTGTGAAATTGTTCTGAGGCCACATGAGCTGCCCCTGTGCTTGAAGGGCTGCAGCATAATTAATAATGTACCACTGTTAATTCATGAACAGACATGAGCTGATGAAGCTGTGTAGTTCAGTGCATTTAATTTCTTTCATGCATACTATTTTCTTCATGGTGGTTTCTTTTTGTGTGAAGGACCTCTACCGGGGCTTTCTTCACTACTCCAGCAGAGCCTAGCTTTCCCAAAGTTCAGTTTTCATCTAATACTGTGTATTTCCATGATCTGTTAGTTTTTTCCAGAACTTGCCATTGTGACAGAGCTGGCATCATTGAGATAGATTGAGTGATCTATTAGAATCACATCTCCAGTTTGTAAACCAAGACCTGTCAAAGCACTGGTCCAGACTTTCTCTAGCACAGAAGCTGATGGAGAACTCCCTTTATCCAACACCTTCCTTAAGATGACTGCCCCTCCTGATCTGTCCCATAGATTAGCAGCAAGATGTATGCTGGTATCTTCATGTAAAGGTCATAGACATATATATTTCATACCCTGTCCTTGTTGCCTTGGGTACGATATACAGTGCTAATTTGATACCTATAGCTATTATAATCCCATGTTGTTCTAGTTTTAAATATTGTTTTTCACATGCAGAAGCAAGTCTGTCTGCTGAGCTTGTGTCCCTGGTAAGCTGGTGGGCATATAGTATAGCACAGAAACAAATGCCAAGTGACAGTTAGGGCACTAAGTTTCAGCTATGCCTGCAGCAGCTGTTGGGGTTTTGGTCATTTCATTGCATCCTTAAAGGAATGTGTTCCTCCCCCGCCTTCTTCCTTCAGAGAAAAAAACAGTATTTCCTTTCACAGCCGTTCTTTATGAGCCCTATTTAGTACTACAGGCCTTGCACTACCTGAGATCATCCGAATCCAAATTGAAAGTGAAGAGAGACACTTAGAGGATTAGATCACTTTAGTAGAAACAATTACTCCTTRGCTACTTTTGTCATGTTGATAGGCAAGCCTTGCTAGTCATGTGGACCTGCTTGGAATGGCACAAGCTTCCTATGCATTTTCAAGGGATTTCTACCARTCTGCCAGAATAGCTCTTCAGCCTGCTCTAGCTGCAGTGGATGCAAAAGATCAGTTGATCCARGGGACAAGTTTAAAACATTTCCTAAAATGTAGTTCAAAATGTACATTGTTTCCAGCCTCCAAGGTAGTTGTTCTGTTACRCTCAGACTGGATATTCTGGTCTCCGAGTTGTGATTTTGCCATCATTCCTGATCCATGGAGGTGGCTGGTTGGGRCATTGGAACTATAATCCAGACCAGTGAAATAAAGAGGCATTAACTGTTTGTTTTTCTGCCCTCCYTTTCTAAAGAGTTTCTTGTAACTTTGGTTGGGGGTGAGCTTTCAACAAGCTTGTGGGATTTAAGGGTTGCTCCTATTTTTGGAGCTCAACCTTGGAGACACAGAACTGGCATAGCAAAAGGGGCAGCARTATGCAAAGAGTGGGAGTGGGAGGTAAGGGACTGTGGAAAAAGCTTTGGACTTTRCACAACGTAAACAGTAGCTTGAGTAGGTTGTGCAGCGTAAAAGAGAACCAAGTGGCAACCAGAGTTTTCTCTTCCAAAAGGTAAGATGCTTGTAGCCTGAATTCTAAAGAGACTATAAAAATATCAAAAATCTTTGAGTTCCGCATGTAGTCTTTTGAGTTTTGTCTCTATCCTCTAGTTAAATTATTTTTTGTTTAATCAATCTAAAATTCCTCATCTTCTTTGTGCTCACATCATTATTGAAAGAGTAAGCAATCCCTGAACTGTGTAGTTCTAAGCTGATATTTCAGAAAATCTGAGTTGTGCTTGTGACATCTTCAGTGTTGCATGACAGGTATGGCTYGAAGGTAGAGCATTACTGAGTGGGAGTAGGATTGCTTCGTATGAAACTTGTCGAAGACTGCATGTTTTTAGCTTCTAGTGTCAGACTATTAAATAATGCCGTTAATGTAACGTTTTGTGRTCTGCAGGTTGGGAATCCTCGGGTCGAGCTCACTCTTTCTGAACTTCAGGATATGGCTGCCCGACAACAGCAGCAGATTGAAAATCAACAGCAGATGTTGGTTGCCAAGGTAATAACGTTAGTAGCAAACAAGAGATCTTAATAAATATAGTTTTCCTTCACCACAGACAAACCTAAATTTTATTGCAAAAAAAATGCACTGATTCATTCTAGATTATCTAAAGAAAGAGAAACCCATTGTTTTAAAAAGTCGATCTTTAGATAGGCAATATAAAATATTTCAGTTTAATGTTATAATAATCTTTGTCAAGCCAACAATTGTGTCTTTATAAAAATAATGCTAGATTTAATTTGCTGATTTTGAGAGGCTCATTTCATAATCTGTGATAGACCAGACTTAATTCTGTGGCCATGGTATGGCCAGTAGTTTATTCACTTCAATAAACTAGCAGTGGAGTGAGAAGAGAACATGCCCACTTTGAATGTATTTATACATTGCATTTCCATAGTGCGTGAGGTCTAAGAATCCAGRTGCACTTTCTGAGCTGGGATTGGAGTTGATCTTTCTAACATGGTTATAGGTGTTACAAAATACAGCTTGCACTGGCTGCTTGGAGCTCTCCACAAGTGTTTTTTTTTTAAAGAATCGGTCTAGCAATTCTGTTTATGGAACTTATGTGCAAGAAAGAGGCATCTTTTTTGGGTGTCTAGTAGATAGGCTTTTATTTTCAACTGGAGTAATACCATATACCATAGATCAGCTTGTCTAAAGCAGTCTGCTGGGCATATTTTGTCTTTTCGGGGAACCTGGGTAGCAGCATTGGAAGCAAACTTTGCCATTCCTGGGAAAGTGTAACTAGCAAAAGAAAGCAAATGCTGGAGGAAGCTTCTCAGATGTGTTCAAACTAGGAATGTCTGTATGCGTGTGTATGTAGATTTGATAGCTGGTCTGAAACTTTTGAATTTCTGTACACTTAAACAGATTTTTTATGTATAAATTAATGAAAAGAGTTTCTCTAGGAGGATGGATAGATGTTCAGACTTGGTGAAAACCTTTTCTGATTTCTGGAAAGAAAATTCACTCATCACAGTTATGGACTTCTATAAGTTGCCTTAGTTTTTAATTAAATGGGTAAGAGGTACCTTTTGTCAAAAAACCTTGTTTTACCAGGAACAACGGTTACGTTATCTGAAGCAGCAGGAGCGTCGCCAGCAGCAATCTGTTTCTGAGAGTGAAAAGCTTCAAAAACTTAAAGAACGAGTTGAAACCCAGGAGACAAAGCTGAAAAAAATCCGTGCCATGAGAGGACAAGTGGATTACAGCAAGATCATGAATGGCAATCTGTGTATGTGGAATTTTTAAGTGATTTATGTAGTTTAGTTTACTGTTCAGTGTATGACTAGCAAATAGCAATATATTCTGTAGCAGAATTTGRTAGAATGTTTGTCTTCAAGTGCTTTGTTCCTGTGTGTGTGTGTTTGTTATACAGTATTAACCCTCTTGTTTTATATGGTCAGCCATGAAGTCAGAATAGGTGGTCAGAACAACTGTCGGAAATACTTGTAATTCTTAGCAAATTCCCAACATTTTATAGTTTTATATATTTTATATGCTGTGTGGATATGCTAGATGTAAAGTTATTCTGTTGTACTTTGATACTTCTAGGGGAAAGAAAGGAAAAAATGCAGAAAATATACTGTACTTGTACTTCTTCTAATTGTTTTTTCTTCTTGTTATTTTGATAATCATAGCAACCGAAATTGAACATATCAGTGCCATGTTCCAGGAAAAGCAGCAGGAGCTACAGGCTGCAGTGTTAAAAGTGGATCAACTTACTCAGCAACTGGAGGACTTAAGAAAAGGAAAACTGAATGGGTTTCAGTCCTATAACGGACAGATGACAGGACCTGCAGCAGTAGAACTAAAAAAACTATATCAAGAGCTGCAGGTAAGTAATTGAGATGCCATTGAAAATATCTGTAGATTGACAAAAGTAATATTATTTACCTCGTGATTTTTAGGGGAGTTGATTCTGGGACATCCCATAAAGGGTGTATGTTAGAAAGGTGTTAGTGCTTAGGGCCACAGTCCATGTCCTTGTCTTTAAAGAGAACACCATTAGCTGTGGGAGCTCCTTTATCACATATGCTTATGCCCAGATGCTTCAGATCAGTTGCTGTGTATTGGATTGGATACATTGCACATAGATGTGTGTGAGGGTCCAGTCACATCTTAGGACTTAGTTTCTTTCTCTGTTTTTAGGAGTTCTTGATCTAAAAGGTTAATTTGATAGGTTATGTCTATGTCAAGCTACAGAATTAGACTGGTCTACTTTGCTCATTTTTTTAACATTTTATTAACACTTCATMATTTAGTTTATCACTGTATTAAAATTAAACTGGGTAGTAGATAAAATGAAGCAACTATCATAACAACTGCATTTTTTTTAAAGATTCGTAACAGGCTTAACCAGGAGCAGAACTCGAAGCTTCAGCAGCAGAAAGAACTCTTAAACAAACGTAACATGGAGGTGGCCATGATGGACAAGCGCATCAACGAGCTGCGTGAACGACTGTACAAGAAAAAAGTTGAGGCACGTCAAAAAGAAAACATTCCTGTAAGATAAACTGTTAACAGGGCCACACTTTAGTTTTTCAAGACTATAAAAAAACTAAGAAAAGTGTCACTTTTCTCCAGCTGAGTATTACAACTTCACCTAAAGAATTTAATTTAGGAATAGCACATTCTCTAAAACTATAAGATATATAAAAAATGTAAATGTTTTGATGAAGTTAGTTACCTGCCTGTGACATTAGATAGAAAATAGTTGCACAGAAGACCATTTGAGAACTAGAGAGCACAGTTCTGGATTCCCATACATATACCCAGCTGGAGATCATACTTCAAAAGAAACAAACAAAAAAGGATCTGTTTGATCATTTAAGAGTTAATTTTAACCCCCTTGCCTAAGAAGAGGCAATGAAAAGATATATTTCATAGAAGAAAAGTTTTTTTTCATGRCACATGTACCATGGCTGAGAACTTTAACTTTTGAGGTTGTTTATTTTAGGGATTTAAATTTGTCTTTCTACTTCATGCCTTTGCAGAAGCATGGAGTGCAGTCATTACTTATTACAGTAACTTAACTCTACTGCATGGTTCCAGATGGCTAAATTTAAACTTTCTCTTTTGCTTAACAGATATATAGATTGTGTGGAAATTCACATGTTTTGATTTGTGTGTTTTTAGTTAAACCGTATTAATGGAACTTCATCACCCCAGTCATCCTTGAGCGCTTCAGGAAGGGTTGCAGCAGTGGGACCTTACATCCAAGTTCCAAGCGCTGGCACTTACGCTGTGCCGGTAGATCCAGTTAAGCCACAGTCTCTCAGCATTGCATCTAGCTCCACACATGGAAGATCAAAATCTGGTAAGCATTAAAGTGTAGCGTTTACCGATACACATTGTTTGGAAAAGAGTAATCAGGAAAAGGAGATGATTCTGTCTCAGGATAATCTCTGTACTGGAGGCAAGTTTTAGATACGTTGATACTGTTYTGTGAGTTGAACATTAGTCACTTGATAAGAAGCATTTTTGCCTCTTTCCATGATTTTTTCCTTAGGAGACTGAGAATATTGGCTTTGCAAGTTCTCTAGCTGCTGCACCAAAAAGGAACACATGCTTACTCACAGATTTCATGTCCTGTCTTGAATGTTTCTGTGTAATAATGGAATCAACTTTGTGGCAGCCTGCTCTAAACAACTGCTTACAGCATGTTTCCTTTCCTGAAGTAAAACAAAGCTGTTGGACTAGWAAAAACAGTATCACTTCTCATAAGGAGACTCCAGCTTAGATAGGGCAATTAGTGGTTCCAGCAKAGACTCTTTTGGAGCATTTCTGAAGCGTTACTGCTCTTTAACTCTGTCTGTCTGTTTAGTAAGGGCTCTGAAATAATCTTCTGCCAAGGATATCTCATCAGTGTTGCTTATTCTGTATGAGCAAACACTTGCCACAAGTTTATTTTTTAGACAGGAAATGAAAGATGGAACTAAAGATTTGTCTGTGTTCTGGTTTTGTAGAAGCATGTCTAGGGGTAGCACATAGTCTACCAGTCATATCAAGAAAGCAGGAGAAAAAAATAAACAAACTGAAAAACAGGCCAGGGTCAGGAAGTGACCCTGACCCTGAAATGCTGAACCCCAAATGAAGCTGAAAAAAAAAACCCCAAAAGTTAAAAGTTATCCTTCAATATCAGTGATATGATAATAGTTTTAGTTTCAGTCAAATATATATCGTGCAAACCCCATCACTGTATTCTGTAGAAAAATCAAAGACTATAGGATGCCTTTAACCTTGTGGAGTAAAATTATGTGTTTGCATCAGGTTTGTTTTTGAACATGTGCAGTCCTCTTCCACATTTACAAAGGACAATTCATAACTTTTAAATTCAGAGACCAAAAATATCAGTATTTTGTAAATATCAACAAATATCAGCACATACCCAATTCTAGAACTACCGTAAGGGGTTACTCCTTTTTATGAAAGGTTTATTCTCCATTAGTACTTCACTTTGTTTAGTATTGTGAACATATTTAAAGAAAACCCCTGAAGATAGATTTGTGTAAGTTTATCATCTATTCAGGAAGAAAAAAAAATATTTTTTCACTGTCATGCTTTTATTTCTCATTATCTGAGTTTTCCTGTTCTAATTTCTCCATTGTCATAATTTTTCCACCGCTTTTTTTCTTTCTTTTTCTGTGTTAACTGCATCTGCCTTGGTGTGTCCGGTAGAGACAGACTTTGGGTGTGTGAAAAAATCTCCAGACACCTGGAAGGTTTCTGATTTAGACATAATAGTGGATCCTATTCTGTCACCTTCCACTTCTCTGCAGTCTGCTGGTCACAATGTCATCCGCCTGGCACCTACTGTCTTTGACACCCAACACTGTGAGTCTGTAGAAGATATTTGGCTACCTAAGGACTCCGTTTTTAATATGGTCATCTGAGCTCTTGCAAACAGATGCATATTAAACAGCATCTTTAGAACTTGTGCTGTGTTGTGGTAGGCAGTAGATGCTGTTGAAATGTAAAATTGTTTGGGGAGTCGCTCGCCTCCTTTGAAGGAAACTGATTTGCAGCAAATTCATCCCTGGAGTACTGCATTAGACCTACACTAGGGATGAGTTTTCTTCATTGAAAAAGCCTGAAAAGGGAATTACTAGAAATTTTGTGCTAATCTGCAAAATATCTTTTAGGATGTTTCAGATTAAATGAATACATAGATTTAGTTCAAGTTATTCTGTGTAAGAGTTTGTAGAGTTTTCATGATACTTTGGCCCAAGATTTGGGGTAAAAATCAACTTTGGCCAGGTCAGTAGCAAGAATCTTGTTGCCTTTAGTAGGAACAAATGTTATACCTGGTTTGCACTTCAGTTGTTACAGGAACTACTTAGGATCCAGATTTACAAAAATATTGAGGTGAAATCAGAAAAAGTACAGGGAACTTCTTAATGTAGATGCCAGACGGAATGGCGAGAGCTGCGCTCTGCTGGGTACTCCTGCAGATGCCAAAGGGGCACGTTTGCAGGAGCTAATGAAGCCCGTTGCATGAAATGGTTGTGGGAGGGCAGGGGCTCGTTAGGGCTTGTCCCAAGGGTGTTGGCCATTAGATAGGAGCATCTGGGAGCTGTTGGGTCTACCAAAGGCAGGAGCTTGGAGAGGTCACCTCCCCTCAGCCTGCACCGTGACAGCTCCAGCAGCCTGTCCGAGTGCCTGAGCTTCCGCGTGGGCTCTGGGAATGTGGGAATGTGTGTCCATGCAGAGCACGGCGCTGGCCAGGCAGTGCAGAGCACCTGCACGTAGAGCAGGGCTCTCCCGCTCCAGAGCGGGAATAACATGGAGAAAACCAGGGGGAGAGGGGTCTGGAGTTGTATCTGACACACCACCTCAGAAGCCAGGGATGACAGTGCCAGTATGTGGAGCTCTGAGGAGTGCAAAAAGGTTTTGTGTCCCTGCCTTTCTAATAGAAGGCTGCGTGGTTACTTATTCAGGTAAGAGAATTAAGTATTTTAGCATTTTTGCTGTTGTTCCCATAAGTGCTTTCTTCACAGCTAAGCTTATGAGTAAAGATGCTTCATTTTTTGCAAAATAGCTCATATTGATCTTTAAAATACAAGTTTTCCTGAACCTCACTAGAATTATGGTATGTCTTGTGTATTTTGTACAGTAAATGTTAATTGTATATATACTCAAAAAACTTGCCATAATTTAGGGTCAAAATATTTACACATTCATCTCTTTTGGTCTTGCTCTTTTTAATCAAATATATTTTTTTAAAAAAAAGCAGCAACAACAAACAAAAAGCCCAAGGTGTCTAGTGCTTGGATCTTACCAGGATTAAGCCCATCCTCCTTAGATCACTTTCCTGGCAGAGTACATGTATGAGAAATGATTTCTGGACTGCTTGTTATATTCTCAGTGTAAACATACAGAAGTGTTAACYCCTTTTCAGTGACCACAAGAAAATATTCTTGCTCCAAAGTTTTGTATCTCAGAATTCAAACACAGTTGATCTGAATTTAAAGGTTAAAACAGTATTGTGGTAAGGAATGGTGTGCATATATATGTTTCAAAAGTAACGAGTACTGAAGATCCTGTGCAGAGGTATAATTTTGTGGGTTTTGGTCACTTGGAAATAAGCTTATAAATAAGCGTATGTGCTAATAGTTCAAATTCATACTTATGTTGAAACCATTAATTGAGAAGAAATCTTCAGGTTGTCACTTCTGGCGAGGAAAAAAAGGTATATTCTGTAAAAGACAATAAGGCTTTTGGAAGGAAAGTATGGTGATGTTGAATTTCCTATAATTAGAATGTTCCTATGCAGCTTATGTTTAGATTAACTTTTATAGTACACACTGAATGCAAAGAATTCTAGAAATAGTCTCACTGCTTCTATTTTCTGAGGGGCTTAAAATTGAAATGAAATTAGAAGCTTTTTCAGTATTTTTTTTAACCTTCTTATTCTTCTAGACAATGGGGTCTAGAAACCTCTGTAGATCTTCCGTTTTCCCCACTGTAGCTTTCAATTTACCATCCTCTAGCACGTTTGCTTCTCTGTTAGCTGCCATCTCTGTCAAGCTTAAATGCTTAAATGCTCCACTGAGATTGTCACAGGACAGTAAGGAAGGAGGAGCCACTTCTGGCCTTCCTGGAGTAGGAGCAACATGAAGTCTAATCTTTAAAAGGTAGATCAAAGCCCTTGGATCTAGCCAAGGATCTATCTAGTTACTATAAAACAGTTCTAATTATCAGGCCTTTTAAACTGCCTAATTAGAAATAGAGAATAAACAGTCTCCTCTGGTTAATAAAGGAACATATCAAAGCATCTAGGGGTTCATTAAGGGCTCGGTGCCTCAGTTTACGTGCAGCTATGCATGATACTTTTTGCATATGATGAGGATAAAAGCCCATGACTTGTATCTTGATGTTGTGACTTGAAGTTGTCAGCTGACTTTCTGCATTTCTGTAAAATTAAACCTCCGAGGCAATGCTGATCAGGTTGGGGTGCTGAAGAAAAACAAAAGGTAAGTTAAAAACCACTTCTAGCAAAGAAATGGGTTTTGTTCTTTTGTTTCACCACATTGTTYAAATGAATTCCTGATAGGATCCAGTGAATCTAGTTTAAATTTGGAATAAGCTTAATTGGAGCTTATATAGAGCTTACATAGATAGCACATTTCATGTATTTTGACACTGTTTCTGGTTAGTAGTGAAAGAAATATATTACTTTGAATATTTCTATAAGGAATTTTTTCAGAACCTGATTTTAACTTTGCCTTTAAACAGCAGAATGTGCAACCCTCAGTCCAAAATTGTAATCTTTTTTTTTTTCTGAGATAATTTTTAATACAGTTTGAATAGCAAAGGTTAATGAACAGTATCTTATATATAGTGATTTATCATTGAGTATCGATGGCTGATTCACATGTGAGTAAGAATTTATCTCATTTCTGGAATCAAATTCATCCTGTGGCACCTCATAYGTTATTTTGCTGGTTTATGATGATGACATGCATGATCTTAAATATAACGTTCTTCTATTTTCTAGTGAATGATGGAAATTGGCCAATACTTAAGCAGAGTTCAACTCCTGTGGTAAAGCCCCCCCAGATCTCCAACACAGACTGGAAAGAGTCAAGCATGGATACTGCTCTGAAACAGGGAACCATTTCCAGCCAGCCGCTGCCAACCTCAGTACTGGGCAGTACCGATAAGCTGGTGCGTTGAAAAATCTACGCAGCGATGCAATCTAGTTTGCTTAAATTGTGAACCTTTGGCTTCTGTAGCCAAATTCTCTTTAGATATTTACACATTTTCATTTTCCTGCTGATAGTTATTAAAAACATCACAGCTAGAATTACCTTTATAGTCTTTCCTTTTGCTCTTATGACATCAGAATTTCTTTTCCCCAACTTTAGTGCTTTGTATGCATTCCTCTTCTGCTACAGCAGTCTCCTGTGTTCCCCTTTTTGCTTCTAGTCATCTTCCTGCCCTCCTGTTTTTCTATTTCAGATCTTTATGTTGCTATTTTTATTTGGCATAGATTATCACTCTTTCAGTATGTTCTCTTTTTCTCACAAAAATCCTTAAAATTGTCATTAGAACCATCCTTCAGAGAGCCCATCYGTGTTGTGTTTCTGCATTGTTGTTCTTGTGCTTCATGAATTCTAATAATTTACATGAATCTGTCTAAAGATTCATGTAATCTTTAACAAATAAGGACCTTGTCATTAAATTGCTTGGTAAGCTGTCACTGTTGCCATGCTATATATTATCAAATATATTATCAAACAGGCACTGAGATCCAGAACCTTGAACTAGTCCTTCAAGTTTAGAAAGTATGCAAATAATTTTTGATTCATATTAATGAATAAATGAAGATGCCTTAACACACTGGCCTCTGTGTGTGACATATGATGATGTCTTGTGATAAATTCAGGTGGAGTCATGTCTAGTGATTAAGGAGCACAGATGGTGCATGTTAACTCCTTCCCTCCCACCTAAGATGATTAGTTTGCTTTGTTCAGTGCAAAATCTTCTTGCTCACAAGTCCTCATTGAATGCAGTGATTTTATTTTCCTTACACAGGGCCTTGACTTGGGGAAGGCGCCGGCAGCGGGCCCCGGTGTCAGCAAGCAGGTGCCGCAGAACTACGGCACGTACCCCAGCGCGGGGCCGCTGGGCRCGGGCTCCACCAGCTCCCTGGAGCGCCGCAAGGAGGGCAGCCTGCCCCGCGCCGGCGCCGCGCGGCCCCGGCCGCTCCCGCCGCCCGCCGCCCTCCACCAGCCCAGCTCCTCGCAGCAGATTCAGCAGAGGATTTCCGTGCCCCCCAGCCCCACGTACCAGCCCGCGGGGCCCCCCTTGTTCCCAGGGGCGGACGGGCGCCCGGAGCTCCCGCTGACTGTGGCCATCAGGCCTTTCCTGGCCGATAAAGGATCAAGACCTCAGTCGCCCAGGAAAGGGCCACAGACGGTGAACTCCAGCTCCATCTACTCAATGTATCTTCAGCAAGCAACGCCACCAAAGAATTATCAACAAGCCGTTTACAATACGTTAAATAAGTCAGTAAAAGCAGGTAGAATATATTGTGCTTTTTTCCACCTCTTTATAATAGACTGTTACTGTTGAGTTTCATTTAATTTAATAACCCAGGGAGGCTGTGGAGTCTCCTGCTCTGGAGGTCTTCCAAACCCACCTGSATGCCGCCCAGTGCTCTGGATGTCCCTGCTGGAGCAGGSGGGTTGGACCAGTTGATCYCTAGAGGTCCCTTCCYRCATTAACTATTCTGGGATTCTRTAATTTCAGTATAACTTAACTGTTGCTTGAAAAAATCTCTAGTAAATTGGTGAGAAGAGGAAAGATATTTTTATATATGCCAAAGAGCAGCAGAATGATCCTGTTTATTTTTTGAGTGATAAACAAGCATATATYCAGTTATCTCTTACTTCAAACAAGATGCTCTTAGTACAATAGATTATATAATCTGGATACTCTCCATTTTACTTTCAGAAGTAAATTAAAAACAGTTTCTCTAGAGATTTTTTTCTTCTCTTTCCTGCTGAAAGAGCAAAAACATTCCAGGCATTACTTATTGCCATTTATAATTATAAGAAGCATTGCCATCAATAGCAGATGAGTATTTATTCCTGTTCTGATGGATTCCAACATAATTTTTTTTTTTTCTTTTATTATATTTTTTTTTTTATTTTTTTATTTATTTTTATTTTTTTTTATTTTATTTTTTTTTTTTTTTTATTCCTGTTCTGATGGATTCCAACATAATTTTTTTTTTTCATATTCTTTTTGAATGGAGACGCATGCAGTTTATTTGCACATATTTGCACTGGCTAATTTCAAAACTGTTCTTCACTGTTTCCCTTCTTTCTTCTCTTCAGTTTATGGAAAACCCGTCTTACAATCTGGCTCAACTTCTCCCTCACCATTGCCGTTCCTTCATGGCTCCTTGCCTGCCCAGACTTCGTCACAGCCTCAGACTGAGCTCTCTGAAAAAGATCAAGAGCTGGAGAACGTTCCAGCATCCAGTGAGAACAGCAATGTGGAAAACATTCCTCGTCCTCTCAGTCCCACTAAGCTGACGCCTATTGTGCATTCCCCGCTACGGTATCAAAGCGATGCTGACCTTGAAGCCCTGAGAAGAAAACTGGCCAACGCGCCGAGGCCGTTGAAGAAGCGGAGCTCTATCACTGAACCAGAAGGCCCAAGTGGACCCAATATACAGAAATTACTGTACCAGCGCTTTAACACTCTGGCTGGAGGAATCGAAAGCGCTCCTTTTTATCAGCCAAGCAACCCCCAGGACTTCATAGGCATCTTGGCAGATGTTGATAATGGCAACGCCAGCACCAACGGCAATATAGAGGAGCCCGTTTCGGTGCAGCCAACAGTCCCTCTTCCTGATGAGCCGCCGCCTTCCTCAGATGCCAACGATAACGAGTTACCTTCTCCTGCTTCGGAGGAGCTCATAAGCACTGAAACCACAAATCAAACATCTGAGACAACCGAAGATGACGACAACAACAACGTGGCCATMGTCCCTGCTGTTGAACCGTCACCCACTCCCACACCTGAGGTCAGCTCTCCAGTAGAGGAAGAAGCTCCTTTGCCACCAGCTCTTCCTCCTCCTCCTCCTCCTCCAGTAAGTGACCTGAAAAAAAGACAATTATCTGAACTTTAGGATTAGCTCTGTGTTTAAGCAAGTGTGGAAGAYGATGATATTATGATAAATGATGGGCTTCATTTTATGAAATTAAGATAAAACCAAATCAAGGGAAGACCAAGGGAGTTTCTTATGTGTTGGTTTCTTTACCAGTGTAGCAATTTAATAGGGAMAATAGGAGCACAGGCAGTGGAGGATCCTACATATAGGCTATAGAACCACTTTTGGGACACGCTCAGTGTAGAACTAACTCCCATTTCTGAGATACCATTTATAATTTTTCATTTCCCCAGGGCTACATACAATTATTCTATTCTTGTATGAGATGAATTCCTATTCATATCATACAATATGAATTACTGTTCATATGAACCTGTGGGTAAGTTACTGCAGTGATGCTTTCCAGTTTCAAACAAGCTGGAATACATACTCTGGGAGAAGTGAATCCCAGCTCCCCCCTCAGCAGAGAGCTGTGAGACCAGAGCTGACAGCAGCAGCAGCAGCGACACAGCTGGCTTGGTGCAGCAGAGATGTCCTCTAATGCACTTGTCTCATAACCCGAATTGCTTCCAGCACCTCGTCCTGCTGCACCAAAAGCTTCTAACTGCTAGTTGGCTCTGGGTGTACCAAAACTTAAAGCATGAAGAGACTAGAAAATGGAAAGAAAAATGGCATTTTTTTCTTAATTGTTAGTATGTTCCAATTTAATGCTGAGTTCAGAGGCTATTTCCACTTTTTGATTCACGTAACGCTGCCCTCAGTTGTGCAGCGCGAGCTCCGCTTGCTGGCACGGTGTGACTGCGGCGCACGCGCAGCCTGCCCTGTGTTTCCAGGGAGCACGAGGGCATTCCTGGGAGAGCAGAACACGTTAGCAGTGGATATTGGTCATGCTGGGAAAGGTTTATTTTCCAGATGGAAACAGCTATACTAAATGGGAGTGTAAATGAAAACTCTTCTTACAGAGCTACAGAATGAAACACACCATTAATAACTTTTTTTTTTTCCTGAAAACTGGCAAAGACGTAAGTGAATGATGCAACATGTTTTCAAAACATTCAAATGTTCAGATTTTGAGAATGCAACTCCCAGAAGCACCAGCTAGAATCTCACTTAAAATACTTCCGTTTCTCTACAGCAAAGCTCAGAACTTTTTCATACAGACTTGCAATGGGCATTTGCTAATTCAAGGCAGATTCTTCTGAATAGAGCCTGAGACTGAGGCTTAATTGTGTTGTCTGGGCTGGCCAAGCAAAGMAGTTTTGACAGTCTCAGGAAATCCACAGAAATACATGGGGCTCAGAGGAAATACAGTTGTAAGGTTCTGGTGGTCAGAATCTTTGCACTCAAGTACTTAGTTCCCTGCAATAATGACATTTAAGTAAAGCTCTCTAGATTATTGTGGCATTCATTTTTATTTTGCAGYTGATGATTAAAATGTATTAAGGTATGAAGGCTTGAAGTAGACTTTTATTATAAAAATGYTTGTGCCCCTTAAATTAAAATTTAAGGAGCACGGATTTTTTTATCTGGTTAAGAAAGTAGACGGCTGGTTTGTAATACACTTGCACCCTGAAATGATGCCTACCAACTTGTGTTTGCCCGCAGACCAAACGGACGAACCTGAAGAAACCCAACTCCGAAAGGACCGGCCACGGCTTGAGGGTCAAGTTCAATCCATTAGCCCTCCTGCTGGATGCTTCTTTGGAGGGAGAATTTGATCTTGTGCAAAGAATCATATATGAGGTGAGCTGCTAAACCCACAGAACCTCTTTCAACACTTCAAATAATAATAGTAATAAAAAAACTTTCATGTTTTCCTTCTTTCAATAGGTCGATGATCCCAGTAAACCCAACGATGAAGGAATTACACCTTTGCATAAYGCAGTGTGTGCTGGTCATCACCACATTGTGAAGTTCCTGCTCGATTTYGGCGTAAATGTAAATGCAGCAGATAGTGATGGATGGTAAGTGTTGGCATTTTTAACCTAGCATCTGAAGAAATAAAAATTCTAACCCAAAATTCAGTAGAAACCCACTGTGGGGAACAGTTTTCTTCCCTTTCACCCACAGCAAAAAAGCACTTTCTAATCTGTACATGGTGACAAACTCAAATACAAGTTGCATCATATTGAACACATGTGAAGGTACCTTTAAGTCATAAATTACAGCATATTTTATTTTTATTTAATAGTATAGTTGAATTTCTTGTTCACATGCAAAAATACAAAAAGTCCAAATATCAAGTGGCTGAGGCTCATTTGTTTAAGAAGTGTCATCTTCACATAGCCYGTCCGCAGGCTCGGGCAGGATCTGAAAGCTTCCCATGCTGATCCCCCAGCCTGCTTTACCCTTGAGATTTCCTGGTATTAGGAAATGCCCTTTTGTATCCARCAGCATTGTAAGATAAGAAAATTTACATTTCTGATAACATCTGCTTTATAGTGCTTGGCTTTAATGGAGTCAGGAATCCACTGCAGGTTGTCGGGCAGGTTTTGCACATGGCATATGCTATAACCATTAAGAAGACAATTTCTTTTTTAAAAAAGTATTAATTATTAATACAGACATAACTTCATGTTGCAAGACAAGATGGTTGAGATTCCTGGAACATTTGTTCTAATGTCTACATTTTTGCCTTGCTGCAGGACACCGTTGCATTGTGCTGCTTCCTGCAATAGCGTTCACCTCTGCAAGCTACTTGTGGAATCTGGGGCAGCAATTTTTGCTTCAACTATAAGTGATATAGAAACTGCTGCAGACAAGTGTGAAGAGATGGAAGAAGGTTATATTCAGTGTTCCCAGTTCCTGTATGGTAGGTTGTGCGGCATCTTGCAGCCCTTTTTGGCTCTTCTGAAGTACAGCCCTTCTCTATCCAAGAGCAGGTGTCCGGCCGTTCTGCATGAGACATTTTATTATCTTCTGCATTGGCCCTAGACTTGTAGATACTGCCCTTTACCTGTACCTTCAAATGCCAACAACAGAAGAGCCTTTTGGTTATTATGGTGCTCATTCTTTCCCTTCTTTGACTTCCCAGGCTCTTTCTAATGTTAGAATGTTTTGGATTAATTTGGCTTAATGTCAGTGGCAGTGCTGCCATTGAGCGGTTTTGATGGTAACAACGGGGTGTCCAGTGTCTCCATACAGATGCTGCAACTTCCAGATGCACAAGTTCCTAGCAGATCGCATGAAGACACAAACATTCAGCCTTTATGATTAAATGTTCCCAAGATTAAATATTTACCCAGATGTATTTGGCAAGAAAGATGCCTTGGATGCAGCTGACATTTCAGTTTGCATGAGAGAAGGCTGGAAGCTTCATTAAGCCTTCATGCACAGGACCTTGTGCAGATCTTCAGAAGCCCGGAGCGTAGCCAGCAGGCCTGTGAGAAACACGGCACAGCTCCCTGGAGCTGCTTTGCTCCCACATATATTAAGACCATTTTGTCCTTATTTGAATAAGATCACAAAGTTTCCATTGCATATACCAGAAAAGGAAAAAAACTCATGCTGTAAGTAAAATATTCTGCAAGATGTGGTTTCACCGTGCAGTTCAGCTCCTGGAAGTGTCTCCTTGTGGAAGTGCTGCCTATTCTTTAAAGAATTTTTATTAAGAAGACACCAATATATTCCGGTCACAGTGTCCACACTGAGAATCCCGGAGGGAAAACCAGGATATTTAGCACTTTCTGTGTTCTCTGTTTGGCTGACAGGCGTGCAGGAGAAGCTGGGGGTGATGAACAAGGGAGTCGTGTACGCGCTGTGGGACTACGAGGCGCAGAACAGCGACGAGTTGTCCTTCCACGAGGGCGACGCCATCACCGTCCTGCGGCGCAAGGACGACAACGAGACCGAGTGGTGGTGGGCGCGACTCAACGACAAGGAAGGCTACGTGCCCAAAAACCTGCTCGGGGTGAGTGCTTCGCCTTTCAGCTCCCTTCTGCTTCCCGGCCCTGGAGGAGGGACGCGGGCGAGCCGGTCTGTGCGGCCGCGGGACGCGCGCGAGGGAGCGGTGCTCAGCAGCCCGACCTTGTCCTTTCAGGCCTCCGTGTGGTCTTTGTAACCAGAAAGGAGGCACAATGATAAGCTCAGCTTTTTTATTCAGGACATAAGTTTAATATATTTACTGAATGTATTTTCAGCTTTAATCTTTATTACGGGCTTTCTTCTGGTTAAAAAACCCAGCATCCCTACATGAAGCGTGGTGGCTCTATTAAACCCTCCTAAAGTTGGCCCAGGAAGGACAGTTGCATTAGGAAGGTCTCCAAACCTGTTGTAGATGATTAGCAAGCTCCAGAATTACAGCTGGAGATTGGGCTGGAAGGCTGATGTAGCCAAAAGCACTCAGAATGCTACAGCGGGGAACTTTGGTGGTGTTTCTAGGCCTTCWCTCAAACTTGGTCCACTTATTTCTTTAAAAACACATTGTTATGTACATAGAAGGCAGGATGCTACGCTGTAGAGGGCAGCAGTCTCCGGCGCGTGGCCCACCTGGGCTCTGCACCRGGGGCAGCGGCCCCTCAGTGGGACAGCACCACGGATGCCAAAATCCAAGTGGGAAAGCGGGTAGCATCGCCTGGCTCTGTGTTGGTGCCACAGGCTGAGAGTGACAGAGGGACACAGTGTCGTGAGAGGGACCGCGTTCACAACCCCGCCTTGCCTCCCTCCGCTGCCAGCTGGTTTTTCCCTGCGCGATGGGCTCCGGTGTGGTTGTGTCCGCATGCATCTCACCAACAGGAAAGCGCCCTGGAGATGTCAACTCTAGGCAGGTTCCTTGAGTAGCTCTCGGGCAACTTAATCATAACAGACCYGGAACCTGAGGCTGCTGAGCAGGGAGATACAGAACACACGGTAAGTGCAGGAAGATCTTACAGGGCAGCAAATGAGCGCTCTCTAAGGGTGGATTTTTAGTAAGAATTCTTGTACTTAAGTGTGTTTTGTCTTGCCTGTCTCTTAACCAAGTGGTCCCAGTAGTCAGAGCAGCGCTCGTGCTGCTGCTGGCAGCAGTGAGTCAGCCCAGCCCTCCTGCTCTTTCTCACTGATTTTTTTTCAAAAAGCCTCAGARCACACTGCAACTTTCCAAAAAAATTATCCCAAATGCCCCCAAACCCTTCTGTGGCCCAATTTTCATAAGCACTGTTTTGGTTTTTATTTATTTATATTTAGCCTAATACACAAAACTTACTATTTTTCATTCTGTTTTTGCAGTTATATCCACGAATAAAACCTAGACAACGAACCCTTGCTTGAATTCAGTTGTACAAGAGTGCAATACCTTGCTGGTAACTGGAAACTTAAAGCATACACTGGAGCCATCACTTTCAGTCATTTCACCTGGAGAAATAAAACTTTGGCATTTAGTTTAAAGGTGCTTTCTCTTGTTAAATCGACAGCRTTCAAGGTCTGCAGTTTGTAAATGAGGATCATTTTCTGTGAGCCAGCACTGAGGGGGGAGCAGCAGCAGCTCCGCTCCCTCCGCAGTGAGTTAAGCGCCGTAGCAGGAGCTTCCGCGTGTTCASTGTTCGGAGGTGTCACTTGCAAAGYGCAGAGATGCTCTCTGCTCTGCTCCAATCCCACAGTTACTGTCCCACGTCAGAACTCCGGATAGTTTATTTCATACCAGTGAATGTTGAGTTCTCTCATTACCACTTCATTTTTTGGGTTCTAGGACGCAAGATTTTCGCCTGCTCCGTGCGTAAGTAGTCATCAAAGCTTTAAGAGGGCTAGGATTTTAAGTGTTAACATACTCCACACTTAAGTCCTAGTCTAGACAACCCCAACAAAAGCTTTACTTAGTCTAGCATCTAATATTATTTGCATTTAGAGACAAGCTAGGGAACTAACAAAGCAACAGGATTTGTACACTTTTCAAGCTCCCCCCACCGTGATTCACTTGGTGTTTTATTTTCTCGTTYCTCCACTGACAGCACCAGTGTTACCTCTACTAATGTAAAGGGTGCCCTACTAACCCCCCGAGTTTGTTACGGCCAAAAGAGCTTCCTGGGAAGCGTGCAGCAGCGCAAGGGACGTGGATGTCTGCAGGGAGAACGTGCAATAGTTGGGAAGGGGAGAGGCTGGTAACGGTTACGTGGTGTGAGGCTGCCCGGCGGTGAAGGACGGAACAGGAGGAAGAGGAGGAGGGTGGAGATGCCGAGGCTGGAGGAAGGAAACAAGGGCTGGAGAATTTTGGAAAGGCAGTAGCTTATTTGAGGACAGTTTCTGTGGTTCTTGGCAACTTCCATCTGTTGCCAAGGCAAGTTATGCAATAAACTATTCCACTACATTGTAGTTATAAGCAAAAAAAAAAAAAAAAAGAAAAAAAAAGGCACTTCACTGGAATTTTAATTGTACATGATTTTATATACCAAAAGTATATTTTGAATTTCCCATTCTAAGTTGTAGCCATATTTCTTGTAATTTTCTCCTGTTAAACAGTATGCAATTTGATTAATTCTTCATGTACAAGTTTTGTGTATTATTTATATATCCATTTCTGCAGTGCTGTAACTTGCTTTTACCACAGGTTTAGCATTAACTGTATATATTGTGGTGAGAAGTGAAAGGGTATTATTGTTGAAGAATTTGCTACATGAATGTGATGATTTCAAGAGCCTATGATAACACTAATTCAGAGAACATGTAAATGTGCACAATAAAGTACTGCTAAGGCACGGCCGCCTTCCCGAGTGTTTTTGCAGACACGCTCTTGGGCTCTCTCTCCAGGGGGGGACTTGAACTGCAGCTTCTGCTCTTCAGTGCAGCTTCCTCCTCGCGTGGGCACWGAGTGACCTGGGGGACCCGTTTCGGAACCTCCTTCGACTACAGCGGCCGGCGCCCCAGCCCTGGCTGGTTAACGCTCACCTGGAAGCTCTCACTCACCTGCCCCTGGCTCCTTGTTCCCTCAGGCTTTGCTGCTGCAGGAAAAGGGAGCGCGGGAGGCCCCGTGTTCCAGCTGGTGGAGCCAGAGGAGGCRGCCTCAGTGCTGGGCAGATGTCCCAAGCCTAGCACCCAACTCGGGCTGGTGGCTGCAAAGGCTGGCAGGGGTTGCAGAGTTTAGGAAGCAGAGAGGTTAGCACCTGTCAGTGAAGCGAAAGCAAGTAGCACCTCTTACTTAAAGAACTGAATTAATTTATTCTGTAGTTGTACATTAAAATGTATACAATTCCAGAGAGCATTACAGTTAGGTTAACAAAAAGTAGTTACCAAAAAGAAAATACAAAACTAAACATTATTCCAGAAGCTTATTACAGAAGGGAATTTTCAAGATAGTGTTTATGAAAGTCTGATTTTGCAGTACCTGGTGAAATATGTTTAGAAAAACAAGAACTTCTATAAAATCTAAGGCAGATTTTATTATACATTGATTTTAAACATTTGGATAAAGGGGAAAACCTGAGATCTATACCCAAAAGCTATTCTCTGCAGAAGAGACATACACATTAGTTTGCTTTTTGTTGCAAACTATACATAATTGTTATTATAAAAGTTGTGCTGTACATTAGCTGTAGTGCAGGTCATATTTTCGCATTTCATATTAAGTGCCAATAAAGGTTTAACAAAATATACAAAGTCTTAAAAGGTGAGGCTATTTAAAGCATTAATTGTAGTATACATATTGCACACTATAGTGAATACTCATGGTTCAAAAAACAAAAAAAAATGCATTTGCCAGTTCTTACATAATGAACCACACTGGAATGAGAAGGGATCAAGAATAGCAAATGTTACCAGCTGTCAAATTAGCAAAAAGGGAGAGGCAGGGCCTTAGACACCGGCAGCTTCCCTCAAATTGGCAGCAGTTTGGTGGTCTCACTGRTCCCGTGACTCATAAAGAAGTTTTGTTGCCTAACAGAAAAGAATGAAGCAATTGGGTTAACTGGAACTTCTTTTGCAGACACGTAATCTCCCCTGTGCATCAGACAAAGCAAGCCCACTCCCACACACTCTATACCCCAAACCTTTAMGTTCTTCCCATGTTACTTTCATTAGCTCAAGACATCTACTACAGATTCATTCCTAGCTCTTGAACCCAAGTTTCAATGTTTTCCAAGATCTCTCTCAACTTGCAGCCTCACGTCTCAGCAACAAGAGCATGCTGTAAACTAGGGCTGTTGAAGGTCTCACTGTACCCATCAGTCTCTCATAACAAAACAAAAGCTAAGCTCACATCAAAGGAGATTTTCCATTTATCAATAAAATACTGTCCTTACTGTGTTTCTAAGAGCTGCATTGCTTGTGAAAGACGAGTTAGAACAGATATAAATGCTGAACTGTATTCCTGTGACAATACAACTACATATGTTGCCGAATACAGAAGCTAACTTGGTTGGGAAGCTGAAGAACAATGTGTGAAAGGAGCAAACAGCCAAACACGCGCACGCGCAGACAGCAGCTACGCTTCTCACTGACAGAGGAGGCCGCACACCAGATTTTTTTCCTCCCATAACTACAAATTATGAAACATAAAACTTCAGTTTCATCATGCAGTTTGGAGGCAGTGTCTAACAACAACAGACAAAACTCAGTCCTCCAGAATCCTGCCCCCGCCTCTGTTCCCGTTTTAAAAAGGAACAATTTCATTAAACCTTCAATAAACTAATAAATACAATTATCCGATTGTGGTTTTAGACAATATGCCTTTGTGTGCATTATTCAATGAGTAACAGAAGCCTTCAAGTCAAATTCCAACTTTCTTATCATCTAACGACAGAAACGAGCTCCTTTTATCAGGAAACCCCTTTGTGCTGGAAGCCAAGGCCATGTCCACAACGAGCAGCCCTAGAGCTCCAGGCTCGAGCAGCGAGAAGTCCTCTGCATCTGCTGCTACCGAGCACCCCTCGTAGCCAGCAAGAGGTTTTCTGCATCACAGGCAAGGGTTTTGGTAGGCACAACGATGGTGTGGCGACGAATAAGCAGCTGCAGGTGGGAATAAAGGTATTTTTTTTTCTGCCCAACCTTGTCCCCAGCCCTAAGCTTCAAAACAAGGATTCACTTCAGGCAGTGTTTTCTCCTGCTCTCCTGCCCGTGCCCCGCTCACCTTATGCATAGCGGCCAGCCAGGTCGCCGACAGCTTCTTGTTACAGCTCAAGTCCTCGCCAGCCGTGAATTTCACCTGCGTGAGCTCGGGGGAGCCGGGCAGCCTGTACTGCAGGACCATCCCTATGGCACGGGTATTGCCTCCTGGGAAGAGAAAGCAAGTCCTGAGCCAGCAACGCATTTTGCCAACTAAGTAACATCATACCAACCAAGAGCACGTTCAAAGACGACACCTTGTCCCTTAGCTGAAGGCACTAGCGATTCTGTCTCTGTGTGCCGAGAGCCGGAGCTCCCACAGCCCCCGTGAGGCCCAGGGGCAGCGCTGGTGGCGGCGGTGACCACGCGGTGACACCAGCAAACAGGACACGCAGCTTTTTAATATCGTTTAATGCTGTCTGGCACTCACCCAGGCAAGACTTGTACAAGTGATCACAGGCAATGCTGGGGTCRTGCCACGCACGGAGAAAACACCTGCAGGTCAGTATCACAAGCTGTTTTCTCTGAAGTAGATGCTACAATTTCACAGTGTAGCCTGTCCAGTCTGGGGACTGCTAGTGTCCAGTCAGACTAGTACCAAAGAGGGATCCTTCCCTGACAAGGAGTCTGGTAGGACCGTGAGACCATTCCCAAATCTGGGAAGGGTTGGGAAGGCAGCTCCCCAGCCAACGCCTTCATTTCCTGCACAAGGGGAGTCCACTACAAGAGACATTCCCCTGTCAGTGTCATCTGGGAGCAGGGGGATGAACAGCCCATCTTTTCTACTCTAGTTGCGCGCGGCTTTCAGGTTGAATCAAAGCAGAACCACAAAAACAAGACTGAATTTTGGTTTAGAATTGCACATTGATAACAAACGAACAAAAAACAGCTACAGGAAACACAGAGGCAAACAAAGGCAAAAAAAGAAAAAATGCACGAGGCCTCTTATTTAGACCATAAATTAAAACTAATAAATGAGAACAGCATCAACACACCAGAGGTATTTTTTGCTATATAAAGGCTGCCTGCATGAGAAGGAGTTCTGGAAGCTATTACTGTAATATCTAAGAAACCAAACAAAGATAATCCTAGCCTAAGATTCCTCATATGAAGGTCACAAGCACTATTTATAAGAGCAGCTATTTTCTCCTCCTGTAGGACAAGCCGAAATCTCGCTCCTTCAGCATTCGCTGCCCGGCACCTACCTGGTCAGGCCAGCATGTTCAGGCCTTACTGAAAGGCCTGATGCAGATAAACCAGTGGCAACCAAACAAGCAGAGCCCTGGCCACTTTTGTTTGTTTACCCTGCACGAGCCTGGCATTCCAGGACGTTTACTGCTTCAGGCACAACATGTCTTGCTTAACAAGAGGGCATTTTTTTAAAAAGCAATGTAAAAGAAAGCCTATCAATTAAGAGTTTAAAACAAAATTTGTAATTGATACTCAAATTTTATCAGGTCATCCTCTTTACTTTTATCTGTCAGAATATTTTCTATTGTTTGAAGCAATCCTGTAGTAAACTATGAAGAAAAGTCTTTTTAAGACATTGATTTATTCAGTCCAAAGCACTACTGAACAGCACACAAGAAGGCAGCCTAACTTTTATTTCTTGTGTACAAAAGGGACAGGGCTGTTGAGGTATTTGATGTGTAATACAGTGTATCACCCAAAACACTGTTTYGTCTCTCCTTCATTCTCAAAAGAACATCAGGTTTAAAGGATGGAATAGTTTAGTTCTTCTCCAGCAAGTTATAAAACCTTCCTTCTCGGTTTCTTAAATGAGATGGAAAGACAAAGTATGAACCTAGAGTTGTGCAAGGTACACATCTAATATTTGAACATCAACAGAAGATCAAGCAAACGAAAGGCACTGCCAGGGAAGAAGGGGAGAGGGGGGACATCATGCTGGGGCTGCTCATGCTCACAAGGCACTGCTGATACCTTCAGGAATCTGCTGGCTCTCCAGAAGGCTGGTGTAAGTGTGAATATCTTTTTCTACCATCAAGAAGGCAGGCAGGCAAAAGATAAAGCAGTCAGAAGAGTAATGAACAAGGAATTATAGGACCATTAATTCAGCAGCATATCTGGTTGATTAGAATACTTCAGTCAGTTCATTAAAGTTAACAGGTTGCATTGAGTGAATAAGATATATCCAGCAGCGACAGAGTTGTTGCTAAAGAATAGTTATTAAAACTCCTTTGTTTATTATCATGTAAATGAARTCATATTCAAGTTCTTCCTGGAATACTATAGAATAGTAGTTGAAGCAGTAAGTAACTGCCCTCTGATTCCCCTTCATTTTCAATGACATTACAGTATAATTTTATTTTAAGCAGCTCTTCCTCTTGTCAGTTTTTTTGTRCCTATAGAAGGTGAACCCCAGCTGGATTCTAACATGGAAACTAAAGACTAACAGTTCTCCTATGAGCTTTTCAATCAATAAATGTAAATGTTTGTATTCAGTCAAAAGAAAGGACTGGAAAGGTGATGACCAACTTTTGAGGCCTGTGGAGAAGTTCTCCCATTGCTCAGAAGCAATCTCTGAACTCTTAGCTCTTCCCTGCAGTACCATGGATGGGCTCTTTAGCAACATGGGCGGGCTTCCAAGCACTACACTCTATTCTGAGGACAGTTGGAACCAAGATCGTTGCACCTAAGTCACCAAAAACCTAGAAACACACTCTGCAGTTAGCACAAAAAAAAAAAATGTAAATTTGCATATTTTTCTTACTAGTAAATTTGTATTTAGTGATAGATTTACTTACCTCCAGGAGTAAATCCTTCTGTAAGTATCTGAATAGTCGAAATCTGTACAATTTCAATTTCATAGTGGCTGTCTCCATCCAAAATCAGGTATCTACACACACAAACACACAGGATTATTATTTCCCATCTACAATATCAAGTCTGAATCACATGAAATGGAATAATCAGATTTCAGGGTTCGCTGCATTTCAAACACAACCTCTTAGTGACTGGTTTTCTGTATGTTTTTTTGTGAGGAGAGGAAGAAATCAAGCAGGAGGTCTTTTTCACTGCGGTGCTGCATTTAAACACACCCAAAACACATACACMACAAATCCAAAAACGTATAGACTAGCTTAATACATCCTTTCAAAATATTAAAGCCATCCTTCTAAAGTTCTGGAGGAAGAAGAGAACGTGGAGTATGAGACATTCTAATCCAACAAATTCTCAGGGTGCCCTACGTAAAGCTTGTCTGTAATGTTAAGCAATATGCTCAGTGTGGGAGTCAACATTTGGAAACAAACTGTTCCGAGGGATTGCAGATATTTTCCCAGTCATCCTTCCTTCAATCCTCCTCTTAGCTGGTGAAAACTATATTCCAGTGGCACATGGATACCTTAATAAGGAGCRGAGTTCCTGGGTCCAGACATTTCTGCCCCTTGCTGCTTCTGGAAGCAGCCTTCACAATACAAAGTAGTGGGAGTTCACAGCTGACCCCCACTGCTAGTAACTTCACAAATAGCCTGATAAAAAGAGAGTTGTCTTTACAGAACATCCTCTCMAGGATCCTCACAGCAAGTTATCCTTTTTTGTTGCTTTTGTTTGGTTACTGGATAAAATTAATTATAGCTGTGTTTACAAGGACAGTTTCTATTAATGTTGTCACCTCTGATTGTTGGACAGTCGACACACCATTAGCTCGGATTTATCTGACGTTCCCAGAGTCACAAAGAACGTAGCACCTGGAAAGAAAAGCATCATTACTCTAATACCAAGTTTGGGAGGCAATACTAAAATATCAAGAGCAATTTTACCTACTGCACCTAATAGACTGAATTGGGTGAATCATTAAGAGACTGAATTACGAGATTAAGAGATCATTAATCGAACATTAAACTGACTGACATTTTTAGAGCACTCAAATGTAAAAGCTCATCTTTAATTACCACGTTCTAAATCACATGACCTTCCACAAATACTATGTAACACTTCTCCTCCACACSGTGAAATAGAGATGATATGCAAACAGAAACTATAAAATGAGAATGAATTGAAATAGAGCAAAAATAGGCAATTAAAGATCCTATAATGTCACCATAACACATTGTAACACTACTGAAACAATGGTGTCAGTATTTCTCATCAGTTTGTGAGAATAATCAAAYAGCAGGATGTGATATTCAGCTTAATAAACTAGGGCTTTACTCAGCATAATTAAAATATCAGTTAGTGTACTACATGTGGTTTTAATGCTATTTGAAACTGACAGTTCATGACAACCTGCCACTCACACATCCTTAAGCCACGGCCAAGGTCAGAGCTCACAAGTGAGGCCTGAAGCAAACACAGTAACTTGTTAGAAAATATTAAAATATTCTCTACTAGTAAGTGTTTTTCATTATTATTCAATTTAATTGAAATACGGCTAAAAAATACATTAATATAAAAAAAAAAAGGCAAGTGCACAAACACACATTTGTTCACCAAGGCAAAAAAAACTTCCTTTGTCTTTAATTACATTTAATTACTAGGTTTCCTGTTTATCAGAGCTGTTTAACATGGCATTTGAACAAATACAAGCAAAGTCAAACCAGCATATATACATTATGTGCATTTTTATATACACACACACACAAACATACATGTATGTCTACACATACACACACATAATATAGTGTTACTTACCATTCATGAGCACTTTAAGCTGTTTGTCATAAAACTCTGTTTCTTTCTGCGAGATGAGGGCGCACTCYGCACACTGGCGCACCGGGTCCACGAAGCACATGCGAGGCAGAGGCACTTTTTTACTGCAGCACTTGTCACAGAAGCACTTTCCGCATCTTCGACAGTGATGCTGGRTATGAGACAGTATTTTATTTATTCATTTACAACGAATCCTACTAAAGGAGAATCTGATGTAGTTGCTCCACTAAACACCTTCTCATCTAAGAAAAAAAGAATAGTTTCTCCAATTTGAAAAATCAGTCAAGGGATAGGAGAGAACTCAAGCAATTATAGAAGATTAATGACTGTTAATGGTAGAAACATATCTCTATGACTGAGATCAAAGGATTAAGTCTATTATGGACAGCAGCACATAAATATTTGCTGACACTCTGTCAACGGGTTTACCGTCATGCCTATTTTTTGGCTAAAACAAAACTCCAATCTTCATACTCAAAACCTATCAGAAATGACATAGTTTAAGAGAGAGAGAGAGAGAGAGAGAGAGAGAGAGAGAGAGAGAGAGAGAGAGAGAGAGAATCAAAAATCCAGGGTAATTATAACACTAGTAAAAATCAGGCTCACAGCTGAGTGTTCAGCAACTATTTTCACTCCAAATCACTACTAGGGTGTGACGGTCACAGTAGCTCTTCCTGATGCAAGTTCTCAGGGGATGACAGTAACTCAGGTAAGAAACAAGTATTTCCAGGCAAGCAAGAAGTGATTTGTGGCTCAGAGCAAGTTAGAACAGTTTGATAGAAGCAACTGATATGCTGCAGTTTTGGTCATGGTTAGATTTTTCTTCTGTATATAACAGAAAATTTTCTCCTGTATCTTTTTCCTACAGCTACCTCCATTTATTTCCCAAAGTTAATACAACACTAACAAAATAGAGCAGGATAATGAATTATTTCTTTTCAACCTAAATTCTCTAGACAGCCAAATTCCATGCTCTTAACACATCTAACTACAGAGTACAGCATGGACCAAGAGGCTGCACACTCTATCATCCAGTTGCCTGGCCTTCCCCATRTTCTTTAAGCATCTTGAAAATTTATTTAACTTTATGGGATATGTTTACTTAACATAGGAATATCCATTTTAGGATTTCTCTTTTCCTCTTGCTCCAAACGTCAAGTTCAAAAACAAACATCAGCTACCTCAATGGATTACAGTCCCTATTTCCACACCTTTCCTTGCTTTCACAAGCTGCATGCAGGCAGAGTGTCAACACCGTTACACAAAGCACCATTGCTTCCTGCTAAAAATCACTGCTGACCTTTTCKGTGAGGCTGCTTTCCTTCTGCAAGCAGGAACTCCAGTTTCAGCAGAATGCTTTCTGGCAATAGCATTCAGTAAACCAGCATGCATTCCAACAGATCTGCTTACATTTATGAATGAAAATACTTTAATGTTAATGCCTTCTCTTTATATAGTATATCTAGTTACAGTTCAGAGTAGCCAAGACATTTTCCAAATGAATCAGAGATCCTCTTTTCCAATTCTGAGACAGATCCTGTTTCATTTTCAGAATGGGAGAACTTGAGCTTTTATTTTGGTCCTCACACTTTGATGACGAGGTTCTTCAATGTGAGAACAGAACTGATAGTAATTCAAAGTATCTTTTGCCTACATTTCTGCGACTCATGTTTATTTCCCATAACACAATCAAATCAGTTGATTTGGCTGCATGTTACTGTTGACTTTGGCAGTACACTCTGGCACGAGTTCTTCTAACTCTTCCTTTGAATGTAAATCCCAGGGGTACCCAGTGTTTTGGAATAACCCTCACCATGACCAAAACCACAAGAACGTCAAAGGAACAGAATTAAAACAAAAGGGATGTCTACCCAGTAAAGACAGAACAGAAAACAACTACTATACTAAGTCAAACCAGGCTTCTTCATTTTTAAAACAGAATAAATTAATTTGCTGCAAGAGTTCAAGTTATGTCTTATTGATTTCTCTTACCTTTCTGGTTATGAAGTCAAATTTTGTGTCACACTGCATACATCTTGGGCACTAGGAAATAGTAAAGATTAACATTAAACTACAAAATTTCTTTATCTTTAATCCTACCACCATACACAAAGACTGAGGTTTATATGATCTCCCAAGAAGAAACAGCTCCCACAAATTTCCATCTTTTATCTTTTCACCATAAATTTCATTTTTTAAAAAAATATTTGAATACTGATGTACCAAAATAGCGTGATCTCCACCCATATGAAAAAAAAAAAAACAAAAAACAAAAAAAACCCCACCACAACCACACACTCATCTCTCATCTGTTCTATGGCATCTTGCCAGCAGTCAAAACTACTTTTCAGAAGTTCACATCATGCTTGACCTGCTTGGCTAGCCAGCCCTTTTGCTGCATTTTCACCCAAGTTACCATCCTCACTGAATTTTACTGTGACACTCTGTTTAGCGCTCCCACTTTGCAAACATGCTAGACTTCTGTTTTTCTTCCAATGTACCGATTTGACTTTTATTTCTGCTACAAAATGTCACTTCCTGAAACATCTTGTTCCAAAAAAGCTTACACCCACTCTCCTCCCAAAGAAAGGTCAGGAAAGGGAGGAGGGGGAAGAAAAAAAAAAAAAAAAAAAGCAAGCTTTCCCTTGTAAACTACTTCAGCCACTTCAGCAAGTCAAGTTATCCCTCTTCAAATAGTGTACTTCCTATGAACTCCTGGAAAAAAAATATTTTTTAATTCCAGACCTATCGTGACAAAAATTGCCAGTTTACAGCAGATGTAAATAACTCACAAGAAAATGGCATATGGTAGCAGATATCACCAAATGGGATTTTCCCAAAAGAATGTTCTGTTTCTAACTTAATATACCAGACACTTCTGCTTTGTAAATATATTTACATAATATCATATTTGCCTGGGAAAAGATCATTATTGATGCCTACTTTGACAGGTAAATTTACATCCCGGCACAGCTAAGAAGCACCTGAGGACCATAACATTTTACTGCTTGAAGTTTTCTCTCTCAGTTATACAAGGAAAGCATGATGTTTGACAGCTGCTTTAAAGGTACAGATTTAAAAAAAAAAAATCCAGCAAAATAGACTTCTTTTTGGAAAGTGGAAACAAATATTTGAGATAAGAAAATGAATTAATTGCCACAGCTGGTACAAATATGTTCATTTTACACATCATCAAACACACCACTAATACTGATATCTGATAACCCATATAATTCAAGAGAAAAGAGGAAGAGCATCCACCTGTATTACAAGCACCTGATATTAATTTAAAAATACTGAGAGCTAATCCATTATAGAGCAGAACTTCTCTGGCACTTGCTGTAGCACAGTAACAGATTTGCAGCGTACTCTGGATCCCTCCCAAAGGTCACCACGCTGCAGATGGCAGTAAGTGGTGGCTACACTTCACACGCTATTGCTGTGTGTACAGCCTGGAAGGGATTGCAGCAGTGGAGGCAGCCAACACCTTGCTAAGCTTCTTAGCGTCGTGTGTCTGTAAGTGCAGAAGTTTGCAAACTCATGGGCTCAGCCCTAGCGCTGTGCCCTGCCAAAACAGCTGATGCCAGAGCCACAGAAACCACAGCACAACCATGTTCCAGACAGGGCTTTTGATGCTTTCTGACATACTGCAACYGTACGTGACAAATTCCGCCAGTGCCATTCCTTCCTGCAGGAAGGAGCTCTAGGAGCCACTGCCACCTCCACGTGGCCCTCATGAAGCTCCTAGACAGGGCAGCTCCAGGGCGGGCAGCGATCCTCGGGCCCAGGGATCCAGCAGCCAGGGCTGCCTGTCTCTGCAGCAGTTCCTAGTCCCAGGTTTCTGTATTAGGAACAGTATCAGCTGAGCAGCCGCACATGCAGGGAGCAGCATTTTAACTTCCCTCTCTAGTTTGACGATGCTCAGCACAAATTGCCTCGAGTTTGACAGTGCTCAGCACAAATCTGCAYGGTATTACCCACCTCAGCCCATTCATTATTCAACTAACAAACATAAAAGTTTTCTGTAGTTCTGCAGGCTCAAAACTCAAAATCCTCATAATGTGACAACTGATGTTTAAAGACAGGGTAGGTATGTGATTAAAGATATTAAAAAAAAAAAAAAAAAAAAAGGAAACGAAATTTCAATGTTAATAGTAGGCCTAACACAACTACTAACATAATTATGAGGTCAAAGTAGTCAAAGTAATAATATACAGGTTGATTTAAGCTGTATATAATTTATAGACACATTCTCAAATAAATCTAAGAGTAAATACTAAAATAATCCTCAAACAACGTTCACTTGAATTAAGATGGTGCTATGGACTAGGTACAGTTAGGAGCACCACATTTTTAAGAAATTCAGGATAATTCAGGATTATTGAAACATACTGAATATTGAAGTACATTTTAGAAAGTCAAAAGAAAAATACTTTAAACTTCAGGTAAATGCTACACAAATGGTATCCACTGACAATGATGTCAGTGATCGGGTTTCCAGATGGCTAAGGCCAAAGTGTAGAGAGTAAAACCAGCTACACACTTCACCCAGGGAAACTCTGAGCCTAATTCCAACCTGGACTTTGCTAAACACCGATCCAAACGGCCCCTGCAACCGCCCCACACCTTATGCACAACAGCAGAGTGTCCCAAGTAGACTTGTACCTTAAATGCCACTCAGCGCTTGTCACTGCACCTTTACTCTTATCTACACTTCATGCGAGACATGCACAGTTGCTGTTGRTGACAAGGAGACTTTGTCTTAAGAACATAAGTGATGAAGTGCACAGCACRCCTACAGGATACTCTATGTTTTCTCATGCTACTTCTTTAATAAGCTGAAAAAGCCAGCTTCCAAAAAAGGCTTGTTTTGGAAAAACAAACAATCCAGCAAACAACAGCAAATCAACTTAGTAGCCGTGCACCATATACCAGTAAAGGTAAGTCTGAGGCACAGAAATTCCACTAACAAAGCGAGGCTGCTCACACAMTTACTGCTACGCCGGACTTCACCTCAGCAGACATCTAGCAGAGCCACATTTTTTTTYCTTTGTTGAGTAAGCCGAGTTGGTTATGACAGGAAAACACAGTGTTTCTATATGAGAAAAACCAACCACACCAGTATGTGGCAAAGAATGGGTCTCTTACGTGAATGCTTGCTTAACTCCGTAACTAATATACAAATAATGTGTACTAGAGATAACTTCGTATAGCATCATGTTCATATAGCTTAGACAAAAAAAAMCCAAAAAAGTATTTACAAGCAAAGTTGGCTAATAAATTCTAAATTATTCACACTGAGTGCCAGAATGGGCATAGCCTTTCACTATATATATATATGTTAAATCAACATGATCTTTAAAGTTATATTCGCTGTTTTATAGACATTAACAGAGAATAAACACTGTTTTACACATTAGTGCTGCACAGACCACCTTGCTTATCTCCTTAAACTCTTCCTAACTGCTATGCCAGGGCCTTGTTCTCCGGGAAAGGGCAGCGCTCCTACCCTTTTCTTTCCACCAGCCTAAGGGGAATGAAAGYGCGTGGCTTACAATTAAAGCAAACAAGTAATTAACAGAGCAGGGCAGCAGCGGGCCGGCCGCACGCACCGCGCTGCGTTACCGAAGCTCCCGGCGGGAGCGCCCCCGAGTTGCGTCGCTCCCCACGGGAGCAGCCCCCGGGCGGCCGCTGCTCCGCGGGAGCCGCTCCGGGGCGAGCGGAGGGGAAGACGCGCACGGGGGCGCACGGGCCAACGGTCACCGGCGGCCGTTGGGAGCCGTTAGGGGCGCGTCGCGCGCGCCGCCCGAGGGGGCTGCGGCAGGTTCGCGCCGCGCCGCGGGCGATACCTCCTTGTCGGGCACCCAGGGCGGCTCGTCGAGGCCGAAGGGGCTGCGGGCGGAGCGGTGCTCGGGCACCATGCGCAGCCCGCTGGGCGAGCGCACCAGCTTCTTGGCGTCGCGGGCCTCGCCGCCCGACATCTTCGCCCCCGCGCTCCGCCGCCGCCGCTACTCGCCCCGGGAGACTGGCGTCGCTGCCGCCCAATCGCCGCCCGCGCCCCGCGGAACACGCCCGACGAAGGGCCAATGGAARACGGCTAATCGTCAATCCCCGCCCCCGTTCATAGCACCCAATGGAACGGAGCCCTCAGGTTTCCCGACCAATCCGCTATTGCCCGGGGTGGGGGGTTGGTGCTTATTCCCGCCCCCGCCACCTCTTGCCTTGCCGGAGGCGCATGCGCCAGGGGAAGCACCGCCTCACAACCCGGAAGCGAAGGACATGCGCGCCTCAGTGAGACCCCTGTGCTCGGCGCTCGAGGAGGCCGGGTAGCCAATCRGCGGGGAGCGGCGGGCAGGGGGCGGGCTCCCCGCCGGCGACGCCGCGGAGCAGGCGCCCGTTGCCCGGTGCGCGGCGCTCCCCGCGCGGCCGGTGCCCGCGCTGCTCCCGCCGGGGCGCCCTACCATTGGCCGCGAGGCAGGCTGCGCGCGCCCCGGCGCGCCCTGATTGGCCCGCGCCTGGTGACGTCGCAGGCAAGGCGCTGCGCCGGTTGGCTGGCGGGTGGGGTGGCGGTTGGGGCGGGGTCGAGCGCGATAAACGGCCGCGATAACGGCCGCGCGAGGGGTGTTTACTGCGGCCCGGCTCTGAGGGGACGTGACCCGGGGCGGCCCCCGAGGCCTAGTCCTTCGGCCGGCCGTGCAGACCGCCCGATAAACTGGGCATCGCGCGGCTAGGTGTGCGAGGAGCGCGAAGCCCGCCGCGAAATGGAAGCGCTCTTCTTTTCTTTGCTCCCGCTCTGTTACAATCATTTCCTCTTAGTTTCCCTCGCAGTGCCCTCAGCARCCGTTTCAGGGTTTCAGTGGCTTCAGAGGAGTGAAGTGAACAGAATGAGGTGGAATCCTCTGAGCCAAAGGTCACTATTGCACTTGCTTTGAACACTCAACTTSAGCTTAAACCTTGAAACACTCATTAGAAAGTTGCCTTGTTTTAACTACAGTTGCCTCAAAATTAAACATATTTTTTCCCCCATATTCATTCTGTTCTCAGGACCTATAGCAAACTTGCTTTCCCTGTGCTAAGGTGAATATTCATTCAATCATATATTCTTTTGTAACTCTTAATTGCATGAGTGTTCAAGCCACTATCCTTCATAATAGCRAGAAGCCTTGTAGTGTTATTTTTTTCCCTAAGTAATTATAGCAGTAAACTGTGAAGTTCTGGATCAAAGTATTAAATTAGTTTTTAATATTGTTGCTATTATTAACTATGTTTTAGCAAATCAAAATACTTTTAAATTTGGGGTGTATACTTAGGCCTGGATTGTTCACATTTTCATGTCCATGAGGGTATTTTTCTCCTTTGAAAATGTTCTTGTAACGAATTTCAAGATAGAAATTATTTTATCCGGTGCATCTACAAGCTTCAGTGCAGTGCAAATATCCTCTGTGGAAATACAATTAAAAGGAGCAGCAGTTTTTAACTGCATCATTTTTAGTTGAAGTTTTTAAGGGAATATTTGCTMCGCTCACAGAAGGTTTCAGCCAATGTGCTGAATTATAACTGCTTTTCTAAAATAACGGGAAAATGTATTGTTAAAAAGTAAAAATAGACTATTGCTCTATCACATTGAATCATGCCTATGTTTTGTATTGTAGGTATGTCTGATAAAAAAGGTAATAGCAGGTGAAAATTGGCTGATGCTCCATTTGCTCCAGTTACTGTATCAGGAAATGGATTGGGACCAGTTTGACTTGAACCCTAAAGTAATTGCTGCCCTTAAAAAAGGTAACTTAATCTGCAAATGTCTAGCTGATAAGTCTTCTTTTAAGTAATTGCACGTTTACAAGCATATATACACACACCAACATTTTTGAACTGTTATTATTTCATAAGCCAGTCTTATGAAAAATTAGAAGCAATATTTTCTCACCATGATTCAGTGATTCCAAACRATTTTATAGTAGGTTTTGATACATTCAAAGTAAATGTTACCTGCATAGAGTGTAGATGAACTCTATATATGTGACTAGTAGGAAATGGGAAAAACTTTCTTTTGTGCATAATACAGTAATTCAGACAAAAGTATTTATAAGAATTCCTCTAATTTCAGCTGGCATAAAATCGGCGAAAGAGACTTTAAATCTTTCTGAAGCAGAYTTGCAAAGATTGACGAAACTCTCCAGTGCAGATATACAGTATTTACTGAAAACAGTCTCTCGCATGGTGAGGAAAAATAGTATGATTACAGGTAATACTGCTAATCTTAAAAAAAAAAAAGAAAAAGTCTTCTGTTTAAATCATCAAATGTATTGTCACTGGAAGAAGGTATAGTTTTGGTTCCTAGTTAGTAAGTAATATGATTTCATAATGATTCTGAAAGTGAAGAGGCAAGTGTTTTGGTTATGCTATAGTAAATTAATTAATTATCCTAAGGATGGCTTGTAGGTAGATGGAAGTGGACTGCAGTCATTCCTCAGGATCAAGCGTGTTTAAAACCTGATAAAACAATTCCTCAGCCTGGTAAACTCAATTATGGGAAACAAAAGAAAGGAAAAAGAAAGGGAAAAAAGGTCTGGAGGGGGACAGGATTCAATGAAACTGTTTTTGAACGTGGTATACAATTAATAGAACGTGCATGGGAAGAGGGTGGGGAAGACCAGACTAAATTAGAAAAATATCCATCAACAAGGAAAGTACAGGTACAGACCTGATGTAAAGCCCCTATATTGAATCACTGTGTGTTAGAGAGATACTAAAGGGAACTTCTTTGCTCCCGCCTCATCCTTCAGCGCTTCAGCTCTACCAAGACAAACACCCTCTCACCTGCCAGCAGCAGAAGCTGAGCCTGGGCTGTTCGCTCCTGGATCAGCTGTTGAAAGGAGGCATCCCTTTAGTGGGAATCACAGAACTGGCCGGCGAGAGTTCTGCTGGGAAGACTCAGATTAGTTTGCAGCTGTGCTTGTGTGTGCAGTACCCCTACAAATACGGTGGCTTAGAGTCTGGTGAGTACTGAAACGTATACCCTGATTTATTTGCCCTTTGGGGGAACATGCTGCCTTTAAGAGCATTATCTGYACGTTGAAGTAAATGTTTTTATGCACTGCGAATGCACATGCAAACAGCATAGGAAACCGGTCACTGTCACACCTATTTATTGACTTCTCAAGTCACACCAGAGCCCAACAGCTTGTCAAACTGGTAATTTTCCACAAACATCCCTGGTATGTGATACATATTCCTAGTTAGAAGTTTTAAATTTCAAGTAGTAGTTAGATTGATTACTCCCATTAAAATGATTTACAGATCAAAATTGTTGGAAAACTAGTTGAGGAAAGCATTGTTTTGTACATGCAATTGTCTGATTTTTGCAAAAATAGGTAGATTTGTTCTTTGAATATGGCTATTAACTATGCCTATCACCTTAATACAAAATCTGATTTTTTTTTTTGAGTATTTTTGTCTCTAAAATCTTTCCTTTAGAGCCACAAAATGGCAAAACTGTAGTTCTTGGTGTGTGGAGATGGTAGCTGTCCTTAGCACTTGGCACTGTTGTGATCACTTCACTGTGGTTGCATCCCTCATTTACCCACTGCCAAATGTGTCATCAAACACCAGTAGGTAGGATGGTCACCCTGTGAGTGCTTTGGGAGAAGAGCAGAGTCATTCATTTATTTGAAAATCATTTACAAGTTCTTGGATTTTTTTTTTTTTATCAGCAACCAGTATAGTACTGTCATGAGCCTAAATGGCACTGAAATGCACTAAAAGAGCTGGTTTCTCTTTTCCTGTTGTAGCCCTTCCATGGGGAAGGRGGCGTGTGCGATCATTCAGGACAACTTCCTCAGAGTCATTCCCAGCTTCCCCTTCAAATGAGAGAAACAATCAGACTCTGAAATTGCTGCCAGTGTTGACAGCTTCTTAATAAACCCTAAATAGCATGATGCTATAGGCTTTTCTTTTTGTGGTACTGGTCTCCTTTTTACTTGGGTTATGACAATTTACCTATCACCAGGATAACTGAACATTCAGCACTTTGGCTTCRTGATTTGATATTTGTCTTTATTATTGAGTTTACTTGTCAGTCTTGAACTAACTCTAACTTGAGCTCCTATAACTTTGCTACAAAGCACCTCTTGTATTTTTTAATACATAAGCGCATTTGAATATTTTTATTGTGGCTGAAACTGAAAATCACAGAGTCTTTACAAAGGTCCAGCAGGAAAGAGCATTACTCTCCTTTTACTGTGAGACTTGAATTTTAGGCCAAAATGAATTTCATCCACTGTGTTTTGTGGGAGTTAACTTTCTCAAGAAAGATCAGGGTGAAAATCCCTGGTCTGATTTTATAAAGAGGGTAGAGTAACTATTCTTGGCAGGTATTTTAAAACTAGATTAAAAGACCAGTAGGATCAGATCTTTGCTTCTGTGACCCAGAGGTATTGCAGCTGCAGGATTGCCTTGCTTGCCTTCATTTACTTGCTCATCACATACAGCTGTGAAACTGAGACTCAGCTGAGTGAGTTTGCTTGATACTTATCTTCTGCTTTTACAATGATCATTTCTGCCACTGTTCACTCTTTAAAGGATTTAAGATTAAGGTCTTCGTTTTTAATAGAATTTTACATTTTTTTCTCTCCAGATAATTCTTGATATATTTTCCAGCAAGCATGTTGTATTCTTTATTTTGAAATGTATTGAATGGTGCAATATCTCTGGATTGACAGGCAAATATCTAAACCTGATAAAATTCATGTATCTAGATGTGCGAGTCCACATTTGAATAGACATAAACAGTCTCATATAGCAAACATTCCACCCTTAGGTAAACTGAAGAGAGTTCAAAGGACATCCTGCTTAAGGCAGGTCTGACTTTAGAGAGCAATATTTTCTGCCTGAGTCAGTGTCTATGAAGATCCCCATTTTTCAGGGCGGCGTTGTGCAGAAGGTAACCTGAGCTGTTAAAGATAAAGAACTGTGTGTACGAGAGTGCCATGATTAGTAACCGAGGCTGTTTTCTGCCTTGTAGGAGCAGTCTACATTTGTACAGAAGACGCCTTCCCAAGCAAGCGTTTACAGCAACTCATAGCTCAGCAGCAGAAACTGCGGGCAGACGTTCCCACTGAAATCATACAGAAAATCAAATTTGGAAACAGCATTTTCATTGAGCATGCAGCAGACCTAGTAAGTAGTGGAACAGTGGCACAACTTGCAAATAAATCGTTATAATGCTATAACTTTTGTTTGTTTTGGATAAAACCATAAGGCATTTATGTACAAATGTACATAAGTGTACAAATGTATAGATCCACAAACTCATTCTATGATCAGCACCTCTTACCAGCTTGCATTCAAGTGATAAGAACTGTAGTTACTGTCTTATCTTGCAAATACAAGCCAAGCGCTCCAATGTCAGGTGTTGGTGGTTTGTGACAGGACACCTTCCACAAGTGCATTACGAAGCGGGTTTCCTTGCTGCTCACGAGAGGCATGGTGAGGCTCGTGGTCATCGACTCCATTGCGGCTCTGTTTCGGTGTGAATTTGGAGTTTCAGATTCCGTGCTCAAAGCTCGGTATTTGCAGACGTTTGGAGCACAGCTTCACAGTTTAAGCACTAGGTTCCGCACTCCAATAATGTGCATTAACCAGGTATGGCATCAAAAATCCTTCTTTCTTTGCAGGGCCATTAAGTTGTTGGGGAGGATTTGTGCAGGCAGGTTTGTAAGTGTTGCTTCGTAAGTGACCYTGTCAACTGACTCTTAATGATGTCTAGAAAATTCTAGTTTCTTTTAGAGACCTTTTGGAGATTTGGGTATCAAGACCTCTTACCTACACATCTAAAAGGACATGGTTACTAACTAGAGGAATGATGTGAGTGTGATGGGGTTGGTTGGTGGTTTTCTTTAGTTTTAACAGAGTCAGCATCTAATAGTAGCTACGTTCATAGGARCTTCAGCTGGCTAAATTGTTGAAGCGCGGTGAACTAAGGACATACTTCACAGTTCCTTTTAATTTGCCTTGAAAGAATAAAGGTTTTATAAATATGATTCATATTTATGCTATAAATATGACTGTGAGGGTGACAGAGCACTGGAACAGGCTGCCCAGAGAGGTTGTGGAGTCTCCTCCTTTGGCGATCTTTAAAACCCGCTTGGATGCAGCCCTGTGCCACGTGCTCTAGGTGACCCTGCGTGAGCAGGGGGGTTGGACTCAGATGACCTCTGAGGTCCCTTCCAACCTTAAGCATCCTGTGATTCTATGATTCAGTGATTTGCATTTTATTTTCTTCATTCCCTTTACTTCTGTTTGCCAAAACAAAATGCATAACCACGAGTCARCTTCAAATGTTACTTCTCTGGTGTAGGTGACGGATGCTGTGAGTGAACCAGCTGCTGCTCAGTGCAGTTGTAGGTAAGTGACCTGCTGCAAAGCCGCAGCCCTGTGCGACASACAAGCAATTAACCAGCACATGTTACTTTAACTCCCATATAAAACATGGGTACTTACTAGGAGCTGCGGTGGGTCTGCCCAAGAAGTTGTATTTGCTGGAGGGCAGTAGTAACTGTAAATGCTGTAAATTGGAGGGGAACAAATGGTATGCAGTTATGTGGTARTCCCTTCCCACAGGAAATATGTTAGGGAAAAATTCTCTGGAGTTCGCTGCTGTGGCACTTGGTGACGTGGTGGGAGGATTTGTGTCTTGTCTTGCTTTTGCTGTAACTTTTTTAATATAATCAAACTCAAGGTGCTTCATATTAAACTCATACATGTGGAAATCTGTACTGTTTTCTCCTATAGTACAGCAGATAGCAGAGTTTATCCAGCACTTGGAATAACCTGGGCAAATCAGCTGCTAATGAGACTGATGGTGAGTCGAGTGTGGCACCCCGAGCACTCGCCTGGAGCCGCGCTGCAGCACGCTGCAGGTCTGAGGACTTTAAGAGTCGTCTTTGCTCCTCATCTCCCTTCATCCTTTTGCTACTATACAGTAAAATTGGAAGGTGTGAAAGGAATAAATCCATTTCATAGTATGGCACCCTGCCTCAAAAGTTTATAGAACTTACTTTGCTATGGGAAGAGTTATTAGTGACCTGCGGTTGTTCACGGACAAAAATTGCATCCTGAAATACGTAGCRGGTGGTATGGCAGGACATGTTAAAGCTGCTTCTCCACTGCAAAAAGCTGTTGCCTCTATATTTAGATATATCCTCAGCTTTCCAGCATGAGCTAAGGATTCTGAAGGGCAGTAAAGCTGTGGGCAAGCAGAGAGCATCGTGTGTGATGTGGAGATCCCTGTGTTGAGGAGACCTAGCTTTTAATTCTTTCAATAGCACAATACTCTAGAGCAGGAAAACTGCAATCACCTCCCCTTTTCTGCTAGCAGCCTGGAAGAAGGCTCAAATTCAACCAGTTAATGCTACCAGCTAATGCTTGTATTTCTAGTCCTCATGTTGCCGTTAAGTGTAGCCATTTTTCTATTTTTAGCGCCTCAGAAATAGCCTTGGTCACAAAGCAGATGGCCTCTTTTAACATTGTTCTTAATGTTAAACAGGAAGAAAGACCTTAAACTATAATTTTAATGAAATTTCTTTTTACTCAGTTTGGACTGTGTGGGCATGTCTCACTTCAAGTAGCTTCTGTGTGTTTGCACAGTTAAAGAACGGATTAGAGGGGCACAGAAGCGATGGCAGCCGAGAGGCAAAGCCAACCCTAACGGCCTGGATCTGTTCAAGCCGTGAACTTCAGCCTGGGCTTTTCCACGTTTCCTCCTTTCCAGCTCGCTCTCCTCACAGCAGAAGCCTCTTTAGCTCTTTCTCTTCATAACAACCAACGCACATCCCGAGCCCCTTCTCCTCTTTGCCAGAGTCTGAAGCCACTTGTGGTAATCAGAGGGTCTTGGAGCATGAGCTGCCGTCACGGTCTTGACTGTGCAGCTGGCCGTGTTTTTGAAGGTGCGTTTAGTGCTCCAGACTCTCTTCTGGTTTTCCCCCTTTCCTGGAGTATGTGTCTCTTTTCTGAGGGACTTTTGCCCTTGCTCTTCATCTCAGGGTGGCCTCCTTGTCTTACCCTTCCTCTCTGCATAAGYTTGGTCAAAATCAAAAGCAACTCAACTCCTGAGCTCTCTATTGTAGCCTGGTGCTCTGTCTCTTCCTACCAATCAAGGTATCAGYCTAACCTTCCTTGACAGCCTCCCACTGAGGTTATCAGATCTAAACCAGCTTTCCCTCCTTTCCTTGCTGTTTAAGTGCACCAGACTCTACAGGTGCCTTGTTTGCCATTTATTTCTGTGCATTATCAGTGATAACTGCATGTCCTTGCAGCGAGGCTCCAGCTACATCTTGCTGTCTTTCAGAATGGCATCCTTAGCGGTTTTCCTCCAGTCACAACTCCCTTATCAGGGTCCAGTTTCCCTTTTTTTTTTTTCCTAGCCCTCGCTTGCATTGTATTCATAAGTCTGATGAAAGGAAAATGAAGCTTGATCCAAAGTTATTTAAACTCCGTTTCCAAAGACATAAGACCTCGTGTTGCCCTGCTGCCCGTTACCCGGGTGCTGCTGCTTGTGTGAGGTGGTGGTTAGGCACGTTCTGCCTCATTCTGCTCTTTTGTTTCTCTGTAGCGTTACAGTGCTCAGTTAGCAGAAAGGCTTAATGAGAACATTCAGTTCTCCATAGTCTCAGCAATAAAAATCCCCTCTAGGTTAAGTACAGGGGGCCACTTCTATATTCAGAAAGTTTTTATCAGTGAGAGAGCCCAGGCCACGGTTAAAGCTTGAGCATCGCCGCTCAAAGCCACAACTTGGCAAAAGCCAGAATCACTTTTTTGTTCTCAAGTCCTTCACATCAGTGAAACAACCTCTTTCTGGTAGAAACCTTCCTTTCCCTGTGCCTTGGTGCTGCTCTTCAAGGAGGCCCCTGAGTCTTGGCCCTGCAGCTGGGACAGGGGGCAGCTGTTAGAGGGGCCCCTTGGCAGCRGCCGGCTCCCAGGACAAGGACAAGGATGTGGGTGCAGGGAAGTGAGGGAGGGGAYGGGCTGGGGCTGCCGCAGGCCACACTGCAGAGCCACAGACACAGGGCAGCCTCACGGCGGGAGGGAGGGAGGGAGGAAACGCAGCTGGGAAGGACAGTTGAGACCTCCTGCCGTGTACAGATCTTTTGCAATAGCATACACAGAAATTGCGTTTTCTGTTTTTTTTAAATGTCTTACTCATCTCTGTGTATTCAAAAATAACCTTTTTTTTCTTTTTTTTTTAATAAAATCCAACCATAAAAATTAAAGGTCATTCTGTTTATTCACTCTGAGGAAACGTGAGCTGGCTGCAACCCAGAGCCCTGGCTACACTGCGTGTTCCACTCTCTCCCCAAAACAAATTCTAGTGCAGATAAGCACAGACAGCAGTGCTTACATTTACTGAAGATAAGCACAGGTACCGCAGTACTGTTTTCCAGTTCAGGAACTGGGATTTTAAACAGTGTGTTGCACATTCCACTCTAATAACCCTTCAAAAACACAGAGGYGAGCCAAGGTTGCCGTTACCGTGGGACCGCTTGAGGAGCAGGTGGCCGATTCCTCCAGCCTCCCTGGAAGCAGCCACTTCCCTCCAGGGATCCTGCAGTCGCTCTGGGCGAAGCCCCTGTGCTCACAGGACCTGCAAACACTTCTGCAACTTAAGGGGACGGGGATGTTTCCCCCTAGTTTCAATAACCTCTTGCTTGAGCAAATCTTTGCCATGGCCATTTTGGTTTGGGCCTGCCTTGGCTCTGCAGCTGCCCTTCTGAACCAATGTTATTAATCCGGGCAGTTCTTCCCTTCCTATCACAAAACCCAAATCCCTTGAATGTAGCAGAGCACATTTCTGGTGGCATCAGCCCCTCCACTAGTGCAATTTTCATCTGCAGTTTTACTGAAAATACTTAAAACAGTCTGTCCCTTTTGGAGTTTAACTGCCTATGAAGACTGCATGTCCCAAGTTACTCTGAGAGGTATCTGCCCTGCACAGCGTCTTGCAGCAGCAGTCGGCTAAAACACTCCTTCTCCATTTCAGAAACGTTGCCTTTGCAGTAGTGGCTTTACGTAATAAATGCACTCTGTTTAAAAATGTTCCCTTTATACAGCTTTATTCATCTTTGGATTTCACAATTGAGGGTTGCTTTTATACAAGAAAAAAATCCAAATAAGTGATTTTTACATGACAGATTTACATTCTAGAATGTCTAAGTATACCCTTTATCTTTATCCTGCAAAACTAGTATTTTCTACACATCAAAAATAAATGCTAAGTGACATTTCAGAAACTTTTAAGACAACTTCAGATTAATCTACAGTTCAGTGAAGTAAAAAAGGGGCTTTTTCAGCAGAAACATGATATGCAGTCCTAGAAACATTGGTTTGGAAAACTAAAATGGTCAAACTAGGTTATTTTTCTGCCAAGATGAATGTACACAACTGAAGTATTAACAAAACAGATGTAGTAAAACAGATTAAAGTTTAATCTCATTAGAAGTTCCTTGACTGCATAACTCTGAAGAACTACTATTTGTTTACAAGTAACATTTGCAGAAATTTATTTGCAAGGTTTATGGGTTAAGAATAGGTGAAATCTGAATTGCTTCTTCCGTAGCTGTGACAAACAGTAAGTACACGTGGAGATCAAACTGCAGCATCTTAAAATCAAATATAGATTTTTTTTAATCAAATACAAAATCGTCATACCAAAAAGCCCTTTTTTTTTTTCTTTCAAGATTAATAATCTGACATTACTAAAGATGCTTTGCTGCTTTTAGTGGATATGGGGTTGCTTTTTTACCCCAGTTTTTACCATTACTKATTGCATAAGACCCAAGTCACAAGGTTTAATTATATCATAGCCTTAATTTATCACAGCCTACAAACACTAGAGTATAACAAACATTTAAACTGAAGACTCAACATTTCATGCCTGAACTGTGACTTGAGTGCAGCTGATGAATACAGAGCGCCTAAGAATCACTCTTGTTTTAAAACATTTTATCCTGCTTATTCCACACYGTCAACTGTTTTTAGTCTATTTTACTTCATTGCTTCTGCCTGTACAGCCCTAGAGCAGCTTGAAGAGCTTTTAGATGCAGCTGAAGTATTAAATCAACATCAGCTATGATTCTCTAAAAAACATCCTATTCAAAGGAAGCCATAACCAAAAAACAGACTATAGACATTTTGCCACTTCACCATCTGAATAAACCTCTATTTTCTAAAAAATTYAGATCTTTGAACTCAACCAGATGGCAACAGTAGTTTTCTTGTTTTTGTTTTTTAAACTATTGACCTTGACTATTCAGAACACTGAGACTACTGTAAATAGCTTGAGATTATCAAGCACAGATGTTCAAAACTTCTCTCGATCAATTTTTAGAAGAGCCAACATTTATTTCCATAGGTCTATAAAAGAATATCTGTAATAATGTAAAGTCATTAAAATAGAACTGTAAACTTCACCATTTTCTACCTTTATTCTCTCAGTGCAGGCTGGCATTACCAAAAGCACAACCCTCCTAGCAGCTTTCAGACAAAATATGACCTGCATCTTGAAACCCAAGTTACCTTGAACCTGCCAAGTGCTGTAAACACACTTTACGTGAAGYGCTGCCTGTCGCTTTTGCTCTGCATTCACACACACACAATCACCCTTTTTTTCTAAATTGCTGGAATCAAACTATGTAATTTAACCACAAATACTTCTCAAGCTTGCAAACATTTGAAATTACTATCATTTGGGAGGGCTTTGGGGTTTTTGAGATACAAACTTTAGAAATCGCCTCCATTGGTTATTTCATTCCATTAATGAAATGCTGTCATTACGCTGCTGTTACCAGAAGCTGCACACCATTAGTTCAGTTATTGCTCTGCAAGAGGAGCAAGTTATTATTGTAAAATATAACACCTGTATATTTAATACTCTCTACTGATATTGCTAAAAATCAGTGCAAAACCATGCAGATAAAAGGGGAACAAGCACCTACCTCTGCATGGTTCTTCCTACGCACCAGTCCGTCCACCCCAGAAACCCAGCGCCTGCAAACGGAGGGAGAATCTACTGGAACTGCCTTAATCTGAAGTCTTCAACCCCTCTTTAATAAAGCTGATGCTTTCTGCTCTGAACAGAGAAAAACAGGGCAGGTTAAGAACAAGCAACTACTGCCAGTGCCTGCGGCTTCCCCAACAAGATCTGTCAATTTTGACAGTCTTCATTAGTCTTGTGTTTTATCAGTAGTAAGTTTGTTATGGAAGACACTTTACACTTTATGCAAACTTAACTGCAGCTGGAATAGAGGGAAGGAAGCTTCGTCAAGGAAGCTTCGTCTTAAGATCTCGTTTCATACTTCACCAGATTTCTCTCAAACAGCCTCCTGGGTCACAAGCACAGTTTTTAGTCATCACCCTTGATGATCTATGCATTAGGGAACAGTCTTGAAATTTGTACATATCTAAAAAAAAATTTATAGTCTCTTAAATWGAGGAATTGTTTGGCAAACAGCAGGCAAACAATGCAGACTCATCCTCCAGTGCACTTTTAAAAGCACAGTACTAGTAAGGGCACCAGCTATAAAAACTATTTTAAACCCTAAATGAGGCTTAAGTTTCCTGTTTACAGAGAGTTTCCTGTGACAGTCCACAAAACATACTCTCATATTTTGAAAAGGTAACATTTATGCTAGTCTGAGACAGCTAAATATTTTTACTTAAAGAAGTTCCTTTTTTTCTCTGAGAGGGAGAGCAAAAACATTTTCCTTTGAATTTGCAAGCCAGAGGTCCAAAACCAACTTCTTCAATTTCTGTTAGCGAGTTCCCTATTGCCCAGGTGATCTGTGCGTGCGGAGCAGCTCCCTGCTCAGGAAGGCAGGCAGAGGGGGAAGCTGCGAGCGCCGCAGATCCTCCTCCTGTCAGGTTTCCTGCAGAGAAACGAGCTCAGCACAGAGTGCAGTAACATGTTTTACTGGAGGGAAAGCAACAAAGCCAAATAACTCTGAAACCAAAAATATCACCAACAAAAAAAGATATATATATAATACATATATAAAAGCTCTTTAATTAATAAAAGATTAAAACTCAGGAGTATACATTACACGAGTATATATTGTTAAGATAACCGAGCAACGATTTGTTCTTGCTCAAATTCATTAATGAATTGCACTACTCTGTGCTAAAAACTCCTATATATTAGCAGCATCATATCCCACCATTTGCAAACACTCTTTATAGCAGGTATACCATATGCAACTGTTTAACGAGATGCTAATCAGGTACCTCCTAGTAAACATGGACAAGTGCATTACATATACAACCTGTTGCATCAGTTACTGTAACAGCTTAAAAACAGATGCAAAACCAGTCATATACTTCTAAGAAGCACTAATTCTAAGGACTTGTTTACAGCCTATTCAAACACTAAAACTTAAAGTTCTTTTGTTTTTCTCCTGCTGTTGGTGCTAACCTTGGATGAATATTCCAGCTCTTCCAAAGTCAATTTTGTTTCTCATTTTCCAGCTACACAACCATGACCACAAATACATTTGTGCACACAGTATTTTTTTTACTTGCTCATCCAACTTCACTTTTTTTTTGTTTTTGTTTTTTTTAATTAACACAGAAGCTGAAGACAATGACAAGCTTTACAGAAAAGCGAAAAGAAATTCTAGTGTCTATGAAACATTTAAACCTGACCTCCTTAGCTGCAGCAGCAGCCCCGTGCAGTATCTACCAGCTGCAGGCAGACTGAGTGCGGACGGGCGCTCGGACCCGCCGCTCGCCGCGTCCCGCCGCCCGGCTCGGAGCGGTCCCCTGCACGGCAGCTGCTCCGYGGCGCTGGCACCTGCTCCGCTTGCTCTGGGTCTGGGATGAGGACAAGGAAGAGCCGGAGCCCTCTCTGCACGCAGCGGATGGAGCTGTGGATTCCAGTGGACAAGAACCAACCTGAGGCTCCATGTTTCCCTAACAGCCAGGGCAGCTGCTCTGGGACAGTTGCAGTCCGAAGCTTCACTATTCTTAACCGTACAAGATAAAGGTCAAAACATTCTCTGTTTGTCCTGATCAACATTAACTGGCCTGTTTCCATTCTTATTGTGCCCAAAAACGTAACACCAACAACCACCACGTTTGCAGTCTCAGGTATTGCTACTCATGCCGTTTAAACAAAAGGTAACCCCAAACTTTTTTTCTTTAAATATAAAATTTAACATCTTGATCTAGTGGTTAAGTGCTGTTTTGCCAGATAAAGTCTCTAACATTAAATAATCAGTGGTACAAAGAGAAGCCCCACCACTACACTATGCTGAATCTGAATTTATACAGTAATGCACATCATTTATCCTCTTCTCATTCCAGCACTGTATATATTTACTGCTACACATTTCATTTTATTGGCCTTTTCAAACATCTTTGCATTTTGGTATCTTTTAAATGCATTTGTACTTTTACAAGTTTTTGGCTGCTGTAATATTCAGATCTATTACACAAATCAACATAAGTAGCATGAACGGGAGCAGTGCAACGAGCAATATTTATCTATATAGTTCCTCTTTACAAGAAAGTATTCACTAACGCTCTATTTAAACTTGTCACTGTTTAGAAGAGTAAAAACAGCAGTCCATTGCCTCCCCCGCTTCAGAAAGATCAACAAACTAGAAGTTCCTCTACACAAGGATAAGGAACCAAAGCTTTGAAGGACTCAGTGCTTCTTTATTCACACACAAATTATAGCTAGCTTCTGGCCAAGAATCTCAATGCGCCAAATCAGTGTGACTGACACTCAGAGCTCTCGAGTCTGTCAGACAATTATTTCGCTCCTGTGTGAAGGGAAAAAAAAATAGGCAGTTATCCAATATTTCAAGCAAATAAACACAAAACTAACTTCAAGCAAGAAGAAACAAATTTGAGGAAATACAGAAAAAAAGAACAGGCCTTGTTTGTGTTGTATAGAGGGACTTTTTTTTCCTTATTCTGTCAAAATATAACTAAAAATTTCACTGATTTCACTTAACAATACTAACTGTATTTCTATACACACACCCTTTACGATCCCAACCCAAATCCTACCAGAATTATAACTGCCCACCTATGAGAACTAGCAAGACAGTCTACAGTGAGTGAAGTCTGAGGTTTGCAAAAAATGACTAATTTTAATATCAATCTATACACCTCTCTCGGAACTAACATCAATTATAAATTGAGAATCCATTTTAATGGCACCTAAGATACGACAACTTGAAATCTTAACACTGTTACTATGACRAATTACATTAAGAAAATATGAATCACTTGGTTTGGGACTTCTTACTACTTCAGGGCGAATAGTGATGAAGATTCCCACATAGAAGTTTCACTAGTGCCCAAGTAGTTAAGTCTTCCTAGAATTAATTGTGGTTACTGTGTTAGTAAAATGCACAACACTGTTTAGAACATAAAACACAACTAGTTTATCTTGACAATACAGAAAACGGTGACTTATTAGGTTAAAAACAGCTAATGAAAARTAGCAGAGCAGGCACACCATGTACAGTCAGGCAAAAATAAAAGGTTTGTATTTTAGCAGAAGCAAAACAGATCAGGCAAATTTCTAGAGCCTATTCCTCAACAACCTCAGGGAGAAAAAAAAAAAAAAAAAAAAAAAGGAGTTGCATTTAAAGGGAATTTGGGAACACAGAGCAGTTAAGATGACTGGGCGCTTTGCAATAAAGCTGCTCAAGTCAAAAATACTTAATGACAGAATGACAGAGCTTTAAAAGTTGTGGGACTTCTTTTGTTGCTTTTTTTTGTTTTACTTATGGTGTTTACAAGAACATAAGATTCCAGAAGCTTCGTATCCATTGTAACAGTTACAGAGTCCCAGACCAGAGTCCCCTTGGGACATAAAAGCTCCCTGTTCTTTACTAACTGGACTTGAGCATTTGCCTAAAATCAAGCAGAACGTGTGAAATCATTACTAAATGATGTCTTAAGTATATGCTTAAAGCCCCTTCCTGAACTGGGATCTCAACAATCACAAGGAGTTTACTATTTTACTACTTCTCATGCTCTCTTTATCCCAAACCCTACTAAAGATACCTATTTGTGCAAGAATATTGTAGGGCTTCTTACTTGGAAATGATCTTCAGCAGCCTTGCCACCCATGTTAAGAACATTCAGAGAACTGGCACGCTTCATGCTGCAACCAGGACAGTGAACATGCAAGGATCAGAACAGCTGCAGACCAGACTAGCGCCTCCAAACACAAGCAGCACAACCATCAACACGTACACAGGGAGGTTAACACCGCCCCAAACCTCATTTGGGGATACCTCTCAAGATACAATGTGCACATTTTTTCACTTGGTTCTAACTTGCATTTAAAATCAATTACAAGCTACTTAGAGCTTTAGCACTCCATGCAATTGACTTAAYCTCAATTGAAGATACTATTTTATTTTTGAAAGCATAAATTAATATAATGACTTTGTATTAATTTATACTTAGATCATTTTMATTTTTGGTTTATACAACTTCTTATAAAAAGCACCAAAACATTCAGGCAGGTTAGGAAAAAATAGTGAATTCTGAATGAATTTGTCACGTAGGCAGCACTTAACACGCAACAGCTCTAACAAACATCCGTTTAGTACTTTTTGCTTCATCCATCTCTATGATCTCCAAGATTTATTTCAGAAATCATTCTTAAATCTTTTATTTAACATTTCAAAGCAAAAGGCTGCAAGCTGGTTGCTATCATGAACTCTGGTGATGCATTTGGCTGCCCTAYGCTTCAGGCAGTGGTCACAGCCACCCTAGAACAGTCTCCCGAAACTATGGGATGAGGAAAATAAAAATCAATCCCGTCCCCTGGACAGGAGCCAGTGATAATCAAGTTCATCACTGCATTAACAGTAACATCTATCAAATGTTTGAGATGATTAATAATTACGTAATCTACTGCAAATTTACCCAAGCACACACAATGTCAAACATTAAAACATTTTGGCGAGTGCTTACTAAAACTCAGTCTTGGGCATGTTTTTCAGCACGGTGAATACAATATGCAGCATCTGACGTGGCCCAGACTACAGTGCTAGGTTGGTGTGTCCTTTCTCACTGGCTCCTTAGCACTTTCTAAGCTTCTAACTGAGGACTTTGAAGAAGTACCACGGTCTGGGGCCCCAACCCTGTCACCTACAGCTGCACAGACAGAGCAGGGGCCCAGGCAGAGCCTCCCGTGACTCCCAGCCATGGATAAAGGTTTATGCCCTTCCTTAGATGTTAACCTGTCTTTATTCCCACTAACTATCAGTGRTCTTGCTTTAACCAGGGGCATCTTTTAAGTGCTTTCTATAAAGCAAACACATAGCAGAATAATGAAGCTAAGCACTACTGAATGCAGGAAATAGCTGTGTAAAACRGAATTACTATTTTTTTCCTTTTAGCATTAAATTCAAATATTTCAGAAGACAGAATGCATACAGTTTAAAATATTTGACATAAGCGTTAGCAACGAAGAAGCAATGGATCATGCACAATATACACCTCAATTCCTCCGGGAACATGTACAAGAGAGGTTATACATGGAAGTTAAAGTAAGTTAATCTGTAAAAACAGACATATTGTACAGAACACCACAAAAATTCTCCTCAAAAAAGCATACAGGTTTACGGAAAAAACCTCCAGTGACATAGAAAAATCCATAGATACAAATCTACATAAACTGAACTACATAAAATCTTTAGGCCTTTGAAATGCTAACCACTTTTTTCCCTCATTTTTTTTCTAAAAAAAAAAATTTCTCATCATAAGTGATACAAGCTCCCTACCTTCTTCTCTTTTTAAATTAACATACTTTAAAAATTCAGTCTGGCAATCACACTTTTACTTCCCTTTCTGCTAGAAATTTGGCTGCAGGACACATGCATTGTTCTCCCGAGTGCATAATAACAATAATAAAACTTTTTATTTTTTATTATAGAGCTTAGCTGTACAGTATGATCTATCTTCTGGAAGTGAGAAATCAAATCTACCACCATAAGAGCAAAGTTAGTTGTTTAGAGAAMTGAAAATTTGAAATAGATTAATAATCAAAGAATTCATATCAAGCCTCAAATATTTTATGTTCAAAGAACACTTCTCGAGAGGTAGCAGGAGGCATTTAAGTCTTCTGCTAGACTAGCTGACTTGAGAGCAAAAATATTTCTATGTATGCTATGTCAGTACTGCATTATTCAGCTTTAAAACACACTAAAATCAAAGGTTTTCATAATAAAAACTGAATACTCTCCATTTTTATTCAACTCAAAAGCAGACAGAATATTAATTTACTTAGCAAGTTTCTTTAGAAAGTTAAATCAAAACAAAATGATTTCTCAAAATATCAGTATGCACAAAATACCATTACATACAAACTATAAACTACCCCTCCATGGACTACAAAGTACATGYTTAGTATCAGGAATATTAGTTGTTTTTTATTAACTGCATCACAAGCCAACAGAATTTAGAATTAAAGAATAGTTCACTCMAAGCTTAAGAACTACAAAACATGAAAAAAATAGGAGAGTAAACTAATCTGAGAATAAATTAACAAGTTGCTAAAAAGTTTTTATCAAAGGAACTACTAAGTTTACYTCTGTTTAGTCAATCCCTAAAAGCAAGAATGATATTGGTAACCCTTCAGATTTCTTTTACAATAACGTATTCATGTGAATAAATACCAACAGGTGACACAGATGTGACTATAATTAATGTTAACGTGGATAAACTATGGCTATACTGTTCAAGTATACTGCAGAAGTACAGACGATAATTAACCAGAGTAGTTTTAAGGACACTGCAAAGTCTTCAATTATATACAAGCATATTCTATATATCTATATAAAATAAAATATATAACATTATATATTTTATGTATATAAAATATACATAAAATTACACAAGCATAATTTTTTATACCTATTCATGTAGTTACTTACCTCCAGGAAAAAAAATATACAGCTCTAATATACTGCTCATTATAAGAATAATGGCTTTTAGGAAACCAAAAATCCTTTCTACATCTCACAAAATGTGGAGAGAAAGCAAAATGAGCTATCAGTACATGGTTATTTGGCCACCAATTTCAACAGCCAAAATATCAAGTATGCACAACCAGTGTGAAGCTTTTAAATGTTTTTCTTGGGCTCTATGATACCTGGGCCTTCCAGGATGAGGATACAGGAAGGGCTCAAGCCAGTAAATTTCTTTTGTTCACACCTGCATGTAGCTCACAACAGCACACACAAATTAATAAGCTACATCAAGAAAGCTGGGGCTTACTGCAGTCAACCTTTTACTGTAAATATATGTGATATTTACATTTTCCTCCTGTGTGAAAATGCTGATTTTGTCATTTACTAACATCAATACTACAAGACTTTTTTATTCTAAAACAACTGGGTAACTGGGCAGAGCACACTGCCCCACGTACCACGCCAGGCTACAGAGGGACGAAGAACGGGAGCAAAAAGCACAGCTAAGAGCAGATAGTTACCCTGGATTCTTTGGCTCCCCGTCTCGTGAACTGCCACCCTTGAGCTTTCTAACCAGCTTCTCACTGCTGCGCCTAATGGAAGCACGAAGTTTGCTAAAGGAACCGCTGCGTTTTAAAGATCCAGTGCCATCCTGAAAAAGATTGAAGAAATGTAAACCTGAAAGGGTTGGTTGCCCTCCCCCAAGCCTAGGTGAAAAATATTTACCTGATCAAAATATCTTTTTTACTGCTATTAATATAGATTTAACACAATAACTTAAATACAGAAACACCAGATAGATGTAACTTTACCAAGAGGATTGCTGCTATTTTAACAAAAACAATATTTCTGTGAAACTGTAGCAAAGATTTCAGCTATGTGAAGGCATGCTCGAGCCATAACTCATAGTGAAACAAAGCCCACAGCGTGTTAAACATTTCACCATCACCATGTTACCTTTCTCGTGAGTGCACCACGTTTAACAGAATACAAGCTTCAAGCACAAGCATTCCASAGTCCAAGAACAAAACTGTTTTATTTTGGCTAAATATCTGCATTATTTGCAACACSTTTGTTTAATCCTCAAATACTTAAACATTTTCTGATCAGAAAAAAACATATGGTTAAATTGCTTTTACCATTTTACCTTTCTCCATTCAAGTAGAATGTAAAACATGACAACAACTTTTTGTACATTGCATTCATGTTTTACACTGCTGTACCAATTGAAGAAATTTCCACTAATCACAATTTTAAATCATTTTTGTAACTCTTTAAAACAGTTTAGTAAGGTTAGAAGTGACCACTTGCTACTTAGAGAAATCCTAGGCGATTATGAAAGGAAGAATTGTAAAAGGAGAAAGGAAAGCACTACTAAGCAGAGACAGACACCTGAGTTGGAGTGAGTTTATTAGAAGTTAGAAAGACAAATACACAAATCACTGAACACCAAGATTAGTAGAGAAAAGCATAATTGCTAAAATCTCACACAAAGACTAAACAGCAATGCTACTTTAGAATAACCATAAGTGAAGACATCCAGAGTTCCATATTGATGTTAACCACGTAATAGATCTCTAAATACATTTTAAAGCACTTGAAGAACATGCCTTATGTTTGTTTGTTTTGTTTTTCCCCTGTAAAGATCACCATCATGCCATTTCAATAATATCTTGTGTGATACTTTTAACTACTTTTTTTTTCCCTGTAGTGAACAGCTACTTAAAAGTTCATTGTTACCATTTAACCTATGTATTACAGAGCATATGGTTATAGTAACATTTTGTATGACTAGATACATATCTGGCAAAGCTACACATGTACAGAAAATAGAGAACCAAAAGGAGACACCAGCACTGAAGGAATGGCCAGTTTACAAGGAGGTGTAGCTCTGACAAGGATCTTAAGGGATTTGCTAAAACACAGCAGTCAGTACTGGAGAGAGAAGTTAAAGCTTGAAGATGGTGCACGCCCGTCATGCAGGAGACAGTATAAGAATCACAAAAGGCATCTAGGCCTGTCAGACAGAAACGGAGAGAGAAAAACTGAATGAAACTGTTGGGAAAAATTCAACAGTTTTCCATTTTGAATAATCACGTTTACAGTATTTCTAGGTCCTGTTCAAAACAATTTCACAGAACAAGTGTTTGGCCTGCACTGAAGTACAAAGCACAGGCTACTGCAATTATATTAAGGTTTATGTTTATGAAGTTTAGCCTAGTTCACTAACATAGCATACAAAACTGCATGGGAGGTGCCATGCATTCTTTAAATTAGAATTTCTAGAAAATAATTTTAACTGGGAGAGCTTTAATACTATAAACGCATTTTGTATATGAGAAAAGGATTCTTTTTTAGATGACCCTAAAACAAAAGCGATCAGAAAAAAAAAAGAAAAAAAGAAAAAAAAAGAAAAAAAAAAGAAAAAAAAATAAAGAGCAAGGTGCATTCATTTCAGCTTTAACTTCTGTCAGGAAATTTTTCTCTATCAAAAACTGTAAAAGGATGAGGTCTTCCCCTTACCTCCAGACAAAATTCTGTTCTTTCCTTTAACGAAACAATATCCACGTAACTGTCGTTTTAGTCTCTTGAATATTTTTAAAAGCACTTGCATACACACACATACATACGCATACACACACACACACACATCTATATAAAATCCATATGGAAGCTTTTGAACATTCCCATCAGCTGAAAGAAGCCGCCCACAGAAGCTCCTTTCTCCCTTTACCAACTTCCCATGGGCAGCACAGAAATCACAACTGATTCTCTAAGATTCCTATTTTAGAGCCTTTATCTAGAACAATCAGAATTAATAGTAATTAAATACTCTGAACTGGCACAAGGCCTCACTAACAGTGATGTGAAAATCAAAATTCAACCAAAGGGTAATTATGTTTCCAAACTGCATACACTTTTTGGGTTTATGTTCTTTAGGACTGAAGCTGCATTAAATTGACATCTAAATTCTAATTATTGCATCAATAATAAATCTAATTATTCTTTATGGTCTTAAACCAGGGTATTGTTGTAGTCATAATCATCCAATGAACACAGGCAAGAGACGTTTGGTAGGTACTAATTATTACTTTTATTATGCTGACTAGTATATTCAGGGTAAAAATAAACACAGATATCTTTGAGCACYCGGTCTTCAAATATGAAATAAAAGTAGTAGACTAAGTTAAACACTAACTGCATGACTTATAAAATATCTTTAAAGCCTGAACTTAGGTATAGCAGTAATAAAATAGGTCTAGTGAACACCCACCAAAAACCTAAGATGTACACTTTAAGGGCAATTTATAATTGTCAATATTTATTTCACTAAGGGAATGAGAATGACCTTGCTACCTTCCCCAGCCCTCCCCACCACCACTGCCTCCCTTATTCTGTAGCCACCAACTACATGGCCTCTGACTTCAGTCAAGCAGTAACTCTTCTCACCTCCTATGTGGTATTGAAATTTGTTGCTTTTATTTCACCCTAAAAGTAGATTTGTATGCCCCCAAACTTGTCTGTTTGGAGTACAGGGGTTAGAATAATAAAACCTATTTCCTCATGCTACAAACATTACATGAATGTAAAACCGTTCGTATCATTTTTTTTTTAACTGTCCTGCCAAAAAGAAAATAAAAGCCACTAGTTATATATTTGCTCATTATCATTCTTTTTAATATTAAAACATGAAAGGGGATAAAAATCTCAGGGTGAAAAACAGTCTAAAATACTTACAAGGGCAACTTGCCAAATTTCTAACCTCAATTCTTAAGACCAAGTATTTCTTTGCACTTGGAAGTATATTCTGCTAACTTTATGAGATGGACTTTAGAAGAAACACATGAACAGGCACTCCCCAGTCTCAATTAAAATGTCCACTTTACTGCTTAAGGACAGATCTATTTTATGAAATATTTTAGTTCTTTTTGTTAAGTGCAAGACATTATAGAGCATTGAGTGCGTCCAGGGATTAACTCTACATACAGAAGTCACTTGAACACAATATGATCCGAGATTTTGAAAACTTTTTGATGGAATTTGTTCTACATACTCCACCTCTTCTCTCTGACAACCAGGATCCTAAGTCAGCTTCAGAAGCACTTCTGAATTTAAATGCAAGAGGCAGGCTGCTATACTTTGTGAAACAGAGTATTTTGTCTGGAGGAAGCACAAGAGGGTAAATCTACACCACGTAAGTACAGGGAAAAACAGCACTAAGATAGAAACACCAGCAGGGTGGAGGGAGAGAGAGTTGCCCACTTTACGTAGGACATGTAATATAAAATAACTTATCTAAACAGGAAAAAAAATGTATTACCTGTAAATCTTGAAAACCAGAGTAAAGCAATGCCACTTTAATGTACTTTTAAAAAATGATGGATTAGATGGCTTAAGTAGGTAAAGTTTAGTTTTTCAGACCAGTTTTATCACTGAGTTTCATTCAAATATTGACCTAGAAATACTGTCTATTGTTTTTCCAGAAGCCATTTTCAATCGAAAACCTGCATGCTTGTTTAATTAATGTCATTAATGAAAAGTTTTATCCATTTAGAACACATAATCATGCAAAGTATAGCAGAAATAAAGGGAGGAGTACAGTACACAGTTCTAATGCTGAATGGGCAAAATTAGAATTAAAGGGAGTTATCCAACCTTACTGGGTTTATTAATGACGCAGTATTATTCACAATACATGCTGATTGACTGTCTTGGCACTGAGAGAGAGCACCAATGCCAAGAAAACAATGGTAAAGAGACAAAAGCAAAGATGGAAAGAACATTCTCCATTAAAACTGACTAGTGTGAGTTTTATCAAGGATATCTTTGGAAGTCTAAACTTTCATCGCAAGTGGCTAAATTACTAACAGCTATTGTATCAGAAAGAAAACTTTAGGGCATTCTGTCCTGCAAAGTAGGCTACTTCCCCTCCCAAAGAGCAAAAGCAGGCAAAAATACCTTTTTTATCATCTAGAAGAATATTTTAAGCAGAACTACAGCTGAAAGTTAGTTTACAGTGCAACATACATCCCATTGCCAGCAATGGGATGAAGCATGGGAAAGCTGGTGACAGAAGCAAACCACTAAGCAAACCAGATGAGCAACTGAAAGCCTGCACTGTCTTTCAAATAAAGTAAAATAACAGGTAGAAAATTGCACATTTAATCATGTTATAGATGCACTTATGCACTGAAGCCAGAGATCACCAATGGGAACAAGCCTTGACTCTACTCAAGGTCTAATGCAGTAAAGTGATATTAATATTTCACTTTAGAAATATGAATCTACTACCATGTTGCTACGCATAGGCACTGCATACTAAAATTGACTGTAGATCAGCTTGAAGACGTGGCTTGTTTCTTCTAGCAGGTTGGGTGAAGAGATGGGGGAATTATTCTAGACTGATCAATTTGATTTACTTTCAAACCACAAACATATTAATGCATCTCCACAGCAAGTGTTCTTTGCTATTCCAATTGATGCAGCTGCAGCATTTTTAAAGAACATTTAAACTGCGGGCAAACATGACAACAAAAGGACAAAAGCTAAAGTTAATTGCCAGATTTTTTCTACCAGTAAAAAGAAACCAGTGATAAGCAATTATACACCAGACCATACCAGGACACTCAATCAGCATTAACCATATCACAGTTAAATACCACTGCTCAGAATTCTTCAAGAAATTTTACTATTGAGGACAACAACACAAAGGATGTTTTTAAATTTCAAAATTTTTTTTACAAGTTCTAATGAAAAACACGATAATCTTCTTTATTTCTCAATTGTTCCAAAAAATTAAAAAATACAAAGCAGATCAAGCAAGAAACTCCTGAAGAAACAATAGGCTGGTGATGGCACAACCATGTTTGTTACMGTGGTAATTTATCTACCCTGCTTTCTCCAACTGTGTACTGTACTTACCCCATTCCATTCTACGCTCATACTCACTTCCTCGCCRCCATCAGGACCGCTCTCGTACTTTACCACATCCACATTGAGGCTCTCCCGGCTGCGCCTCTTCTCTATGCTCTCAGGGTCATTCAGCACTTCAGCAACTCTCTGTTTGTGAACATTGTCAAGACCCTGAGGATCAGATATAATGGGAAAGGGGTTATTTTATTACAACCTGTATTTTGATCTACAACATACACACAAGAACCATATTGGCAGTCAACGAAGGACATAACTCCATGGCTCTGTTTCTCCTTCCAAAGCTCAAAGTGAACAGCCTTACATCCCGCAGGCATCAACGTGCCATGAAGAGGAAGGGCAGACCCAAACTCAGCACCTTGACATTCTTTTTCCAGTTCTGCTGCTTGTTAAAGCCTCAAGATGTGTGTGCCTCTTAGCTGAACTCCTCTACCCACCAGCTTAGTATTTAAGCAATTTTTGTATCACCAAGTGGCAACATGAGTCTCAGCTTCCCACCTATCAAATGTTGTAATATTTACCCACCTTTTAAAAAAAAAAAAATGCAGGTGTCTGAATACCCAATCACCTATTCACACATGGGTTTCAGTTGTGAAACTGAAATTCAGAAAATAATGATATATGACACAGCACAGTAACATAATTTTCTTTCAGAAGGGAACCAAGTAGAAAGCAAGGTCAAAGAACAGACTATATATATAGTCAATACGTTCATTTCAGTTAAAGAATGACTATGGAATACCAAATATTCATTTAAATATATTACAGCGCTATAATACCTTAGATGAAAACCTTGTATTAAAAATAAAAATTAAAATMATTAACATGGGAACTAGAAATAACTGAAAAGCTCAAAATCATGTTTATCCTTTGTTCATTTCCCTTGTACACATTTTAATAATAAATCACAGTCTTTGCTGACAGGAAGAGATTCCAACTCAGCACTTTACACATAAAAAAATATTCTGCATCTCTCACTGTCCAGCTCTAGAATCATCTGCTCAGAATTGCCCACCTCGGCAAGCAGTAACGTGTTAATAAGAACAGATCATTACTCTTCACAGTGATCAACCAGTTCAAAAATAAAACAAAATAAAATAAACTGAAATAAAAAGTACTTTGTTAGTTTATGCAAGCACTACAGTATCCAGGAATAAATAACTAGAGTGTTACTGATTGGAATGTAAACTACCTGCAGYTCCAAAAGCAGAAGAGAAGTACATATTTGACACATACACATCTAAATATAAAGCAACTACATGAATGAAGGCTTTTTTCTTTCAGCACCCTGAGGTGCTTTCCTCAATTTGAAGAGCAATGGGCCTGCATTTTCATGGGTGGGGGGGAGTCTAAAAGTTCCTCCGATAAYGAGGAAGTGTGAACTCAGAAAGGCTTCATCCCCGTAGCATATAGCACAGCCTGAAAAGCCTAACAGATATCCCAAATCAACACTTAAGAGGAGAAATAGCACATATGGACTCTAGGCTCTGTTCCAAAGCTATCATCTCTCATTTCCTTCACATGCTCAAAAGCCAGAGGGATAAGAAAAAGTACTTTGCCAGTGCAGGTCAGAACCAAGCAAGCCTGGAAAGACCTCCACTGGCCTGTAAAAACCAAGCAAGCACATCCAGCAGCTAAAGCAAACAAAAAGGACCCACAGCAGAGCACGACTGGCACTTATTCTAGCTCGGGAATGGCAGCTTGGGGACCTCTCTGTTTTTATTTTTAGCTTACAAGGGAAAGTGCATTAACTCTGTTGCCTTGCAATCACTTAGAGCAGAAAGGTAGTGTCAAGAGCTGGTAAAAAGACTACACTGATCCTGAGATCCAAATCTAGCTCTTATGTGACATACTATGGTATTGGTGGTGAATTACAACAAGTCAGAAGCATATTTAATAAAGTAGGAGCAGCAAAAAATGTAGCATAAGGTAAAGSAGCAGCAGCAAGTTCCCAGCAGGCGCTGCAGAGGCAAGAGACAGTTCTGCAAAAGGTCCTGACAAGCCAAGAGGCAGCCAATTTAACAGGGATTCAAAGGAACTTCCCTGAGAACAAGATCCTCCCAACCTGAGCCCCAAATAATCAGTTTCAAGCTTAAGGGAGAGAGAGGAAAAAAAAAAAAAAGCTTTTAAAGTAAATAAACGCAACTACTATCAMGTTTCCTACCAGTCTTTACTACTATGCCAATTTATCCTAGTCATATTTACTCTTATTAAAAATTATATTGTGTAGTGATAACAGTAAAACTAAGAACYGAATCAAAGATTTTATTTAAGAGGCAATATACATTTCTTCTTTTTCAGACATCTGGATGATAGACAAATCAAAAAAGAACTTTTATAAAAAATAGCTAAAAATACTTCTCAGTTAAAAGAAAAAAAGTGACTGCATCAGCTGCTCTCCCCTCTCCACCTTGAATTTTTCTTGATGAAGAATTTTCCTGCCAGTTCATGCTTTTATCTTAATGGCTTCATTCCATTTATGTGCAAAGTGCTCATTAGTTTTCTTTCACTTTTTAAGAAAGATTTGACAACACCGTATATATCAAAGAAGAACTGCTGTAAAATTTAAAAAAAAAAAATCAATAAAGTAATCATTGTCTATAAAGACATGGTCCATGATGTTCTGTGGGCTCATTCTAGACCAGCTTACTTGAATTTACAATTGGAATTTTAAACAGAAGTATTAAGAAATCACTCCTTAAAACAAAGGCTCTCCTCCACAAGGAAAAAAAAATAAAAAAAAAAAAGGGAAAAAAAGATAAATTAGAACCTCACAACTTTGCGGTTCCATTCATTTATATTTTTTTCTTTTTTTTTTCTTACTTGCCACTTTAAACTGATCAGCCTCATTTGCTGTTCAATCCCATACTTTTATGCAAGACATCATATATCAAATAATCCAAGTGTTGGAGAGAAATCTTTTCCCCACCTCTTAAGATAGTAAGAAAGAGCTACTTGAAAAAAAAAACAACAGATTTGAAACCATAATCACGGGAAATTTTCATACTTGCCTGTTTACGAGATCGCATTGCTGCCTCTTCTAACGTTTCAGCAGCTTCAAATTTACCCTGCCGTCTATAAAGAGCCCCAAGGTTCTTTAAGGTAGTTGTAACTGTCGGACTATTAAAAAAATAATAATAAATTTTTTTTTAAACAGACACAATAAATTTCTTCTCAACTTGTCCACTTACAAACTAGGAGAAACTTAGAAATAGGAAATCAATAATATTCATCATCATAACCTCTATTACATAATTTCACTCTGAAGTATACCTTACTTGCAGAAGATACAAAAAAAAAAAAAAAAAAAAAAAAA